ATGCAGATATGCCAAGATATGTTAACTTGTTTTAAAAAATGTTAATTCCGTTTATAAAAAAAAATATGAATGAATGAATTGAGTTCTTGTTCGCTATAGTTACTTCCATGCAAGCGGATTTTTTTTTTTACTTTTTTGAATATTTTATTAAAAAATGTTAAAAGCACTAAGCTTCAATTGTTTATACAAATCATTTTCTTCGCCTGTCTTAGTTATGGAGTAAAAACATAATAAAGAGGCAAATAATGTCAAAGGGTTGTCTTATGAATGGTGTATATACCGTACCTTAAATTGAAACTTTCTTTGAACTTACACCTAAAATTGAAACTGTTTATTAAATTCTTTTTTTTTTTTTGAAAATCACAATTAATACAGCCACAAATATTTCTGCACATTCACCCCCCCCCCTTTTTTTTTTTTTAGATTTTGAGGCATCTTTACCCTGTTTCACATGAACATAAAATTTGTATATTTTTGACAAGGATCACTACTATAATCTAAAAAAAAGATTCATGTATATTGTATAATTTAATAAAAGATGGTTAATTACACTGTTCTTAACTCTTTTTTATATATGCACACTAAACGGTGCTTGAATTTTCTGTGCGATTACAATTTTGAAGAAATCCATTTGAAACTGAAACTGAATGAATAAATTTTTACTCAATAAAGGAAGGCGCGTAGGAAGCCATTTCAGGGGGGGGGGGAGGGGGCAGGTACAGCTATATATTTTAAGTCGTGGGCATTTTCAACTACCAAATATTTCTTGACAAGCAAAAAAACGTTTTTACGGCCAGGAAAGGTCATCTATTAACCTTCCTCCGTGACACTGGCTAATCTGACACGTAATAAAAGCTTTTCACATTTCGATGCGATTGTCTTAACCAATAATGAAATATTACGTCCAACATACTTTTATGTTTTTGTATGAGTAATAATCTACCGCTCTAATCCATTTTTTCTTAGTTATTAGTTCAAAACATACTACTTTCTCGATATATATATATATATATATATATATATATATATATATATATATATATATATATATATATATATATATATATATGACTCGATTTCACTTGTCCCCCTACAACTCAGTGACGTAGCATTGTTTGAAAAGAGGGTGGGGGACAGCCAGAATAAAAATTCAATTTACCATTACAAAGAACTTGTGAACCAAAACGTGGGAATTGTCCAAACTCGAATCCAATTTTGCTGGGGGGGTGTGGTTGGGGGTTGGTTAGGTTCAGACTTCCTGCCGTATCATGTTTTCTCAATCAAACATAATACACTGCATTTTGTCCTATTGTGCACTGATTTGACTTTGCTGCTACAAAAAGTGGTGGAGAAAGTGGTGCATGGTGGTGGTGGTGGTGGGGGGTGACTGGACTTTCAATGTAGCCCCCCCCCCATCCCCGATCCTACTTGCGTGCGACTGTAATGTAGACAGTATTTTTCTTTCAATGCAGAAATATGTGAATTTGTTTATTAATTCCTTTATTATGAGTCAATTTAGGTTTATGATGTAAACTTCAGTATTTCGATTTCAACGGAAATTTAATGTCGAGATATGCGTGGTATTTAGATACATGTACATGTACGTATCAGGATTAAAGATGTCAACGTAAAACAAGACTTACTTTCTTCATATCATGAATTCAGTAGTCAGTGAAACATATTTCACGCTCATTAAAGTTTGGAAATGAACATCACCAGTGCTTAAATTTATTTTTTCGTCATTCTAAAATTTAAACTTCTTTGTTGTCTAAAGTTTGAAGTGGTTTATGATTTTAAACATTTTCATAACTTTTGGATATTATAGATTTCAACTAGAGTACTTTATAGAGGAGTAAGGTATTTTCTTTTAAATCTATCTTTTTCGCGTTTGAGGTAAGCATTTGGAAGAATTAATCCAGAACAAAGCGCGACTTTTTGTGCGCAATAAATATACAGTTTTTATCTTGGGTGACACTGTAGGTCTCCAGTCTGTCGTTTTTTTCGGAAAGCTACACCTCTTCAGCTATCTTTTCGTTCAAAACTATAGTGGGTCGGGTTTTTTCTGGTTTATAAATATTCTGATTCATAATATCACTGTCGATTTCTTAGAAATTGGTTAAAATGTTTTTGGGAAAAGTCTATACGATTTCATTCATTCATTTCATCGGAACAATTTAAGAAATTTGAAACATGTATTTATTCGATCATTTTAAATTAGTCATTGAAACAAAATTTATTTTAGCAATTTTCATGGCATCCCTATCCTCCGTATTTTTTTTCTTTTTTCCCTTAGCATATATTCTCTTACTGTTGATTTAGTATGTAATTATTTATTGTTGATGTAGAGAGTTTAATTGGATCCCATGTTAGTATCCAGTCAAAGAGGGATTATGTTTTTTAGCATTAAATTAGCTTTAACCGGTTGTCTTTTTAATCGGAGATTTTTTTGGCTTGTTTACTTACTCCACCCCCCCCTTTTTTTACACACATTTTAAAATCGACAGTTTACAGTGGGTTGGCTATCGGGGTACACCAGTATGATTCACTATGGATTAAAATTAAAATGGCTATATACATTTTAAATTATGGTATATATTTTCAGAAAAAAAGAAGTGCTTATAAGAACAGTAATACTATAAGTGCATAGACCTCTCGCTCTTTCTTTCTATCTATCTCTCTGAAAAAAAAGTACAATAACATGTGTATGGAATATACCTTTCAATTAAAACTTCTTAACACGAATTCAAATTAAAGCATTTGGAAATTTCTCAAAAACAAATATGCAGCATCTTTAATTTTGTCATGAATAGACATCGTTTTAATCGCTGTTCCTAGCAATGTGCATGTCCAATGTCTCGAAAATCAACATCAAGTTAAATACTTATACAGAATTATGAATAAAATTCACGTATTAAATAGTATTAATATCATGAATACTATATTCCTATTAAAAATGTCTGCATCAAATTATCAAAATTTTTGTTACACTTTGAAATCCAATTTTATTTCTAGATCACGAAACGCAGTTCAGTTGACATTTCTTTTACTTCCGTGTTTACAATACCGCAACTTTGACGTCGTTTTCTGAGCATTGTGACGTTAAAAGATAAGGGCCCTTTTCTCATGACGGCAGTCATATTTATTATATACTTAGTAATAAAATACAGAACACGTTAAGTTTAGAAAAAATAAGTAAATAATCATGCACCGACTTCTTAAAATGTAAACAGTCTATTGTCTCATACAGTTTCGGTTTTTTTTTCTGTACTTCTATTTCAAGTGTCCCCAATACGTAATTAGAAAAAAAAATCTATTACATGTTTTGTAAATTAAGATTTACCTTATTTTCAAAAAGTTAAAATAAAGAGAATATGAACCCACCAAAATTGTGTATAATCACAAGTACTGTTTTTGTGGTTTAATTTACTAAGGGTGTTCTCTAAAAATAGGTTATCAGCCTCCATATCAAAGCAAAAAACCTGTATTTATTACTAAGTATGTAATAAAAGGCAATATTACATGAAAAAATGTTATAAAGTAGACTTGTGTCACACACTAATGTAATCATACTCGAATACTCGATGTAAATAACATTTATATAATAAACAGTTGATAATTAGCTTTATGTGTATAAATCCAATGGAATTACAGGACAATATCGCGCAGAGTAATAAAAAGCCTTATGTGTATTAATCCTATCTTTTTATTACAGCCGAGTTGTGTCACCAGTATTATATACTATGTCTACTTTACAATCATCTGCATACAACTTGTTCTGTACTCATTCGCTGACAAGCCTATATCAAACTCTAAACTTGAAGTTTTCTTTACTAGTAATGATAAAAACAATATGTACTCTGACCTGAGAAAAAAACATTCTAAATTTTGGTTCAAATGACAAGTAAACGTTCAGTGTACCATTTATTCGTACCAATGAAGGCTCAAAATACTCTTCCCCCTGACAAGTTATTAACACACTAAGTATTCTTTCCCCTGACAGGTTAACAAACAAAATACTCTTTCTCCTGATAGGCTAATACACTAAATTCTCTAAAAATTTACTTAAAGGTCACTTAAACACAGGATTTCTCCAGATTGCACAGGTAGACATTTCGAGCACTCGCTCTTCATGGCAGATTAATACTTTTAAGATTTTCTTAGAACGTAATTATCTGTTACCAAATATATCAGAAACATTTATAACTGGAAATATTTTAACAGTTCAGATCAGATCAGTAACAATAAAAACAAAGCAAATACAAAAACACCAATGCATCCAAAAATAAAATCTTATTATTATCAAAAGAGCAATATCAACATCAAAGTCAAAAACGCCACAGTCACATTATATTGTTTATATTTATATCTGCATAAATAATTATTCACTGTAGAATTAAAAAAAATATTTATTAATTCATTATTGATCTGTACGTCATATTATCTTTTATTGATGGAACAAGTTATTCAGAATAGTTGATATGCCTAGTGTTGTTCATGAAAGGAAAAACGGCAATGATTTTCTTACGAAGTAAAGTGAAATTATTCAGTGGATGTAAATATTTGGTATTTTTATTCATGTTGTACCATTTTCCACCCAGAGAGAAAATTCCCCGGAGGAGACTGCATCTGTCCTCAATAGATGGGTTTTCTGGTGGTTTAATGGGTATGTTTTCATTTACGTCGTTAATCAGTCTTGAAGATTTTAGATCAACCATTATCTACAACACGAAAAAAAGATCAATTACAAATGATATATAAAGATTTCATGGCTTTTGACTTCCAATCATCTGTATTTCTTAAAAGGTGAAGTCGTTCTTGGTTGAATCTCGTGATCATGTAGGTTAATTTCTATGGTTCGACTCACGATGACCTCTTATAATAATAAAGAAATGATTTCATTTATTAATTGAGGCTTCCATTACCCTGTATTTATATAAAAGAGTATATTTTTTGGTTAAGACTTGTGGAAAGCGTATAGACAAACTTTGGAAGTTAAGGACCTCTGGAACCAGGTGGACTACTTGCGATCAGAGACGTGTGTCCCAGAACTAGAACAAAACTGGAAGGAGGAAGTTCATAAACAGGCCACAAGAAACGTCAGGTTTGTTCCGGGTAGCTTTGACTTTGGCACTGCATAAACAGAGTGATAATGTTAAGTTTGGTTCCGTCATATTTGCAGAAAACTTAATTATGTCTAAAACATAAATTCATTTACTCAAAACATCAAAACCATGAAGTATTAAAAACTAGCTCGATAAAAGTCTATTTATAAAGTTATTTATTTTATGTGTGTGTGTATTGCTACGTATTGGGCGAGGTCATTTTAAAATCTAAATTTAAAAGATACTCTTGCATTTGTGAGTGTTTCTAATTGTTACGTACCTAATTTTTTTCTATTCAGAATGCAACATAATAATTTTTCCCATCCTTATATCTACCAAAATGATACTTTCAGATCTGAGTCAACACCTCTTATATCCAATCAAAAATCAGATAGAGATCACGACGAAGAAGGCTCCGAGAATTCCCACCAAGCGCGACCAACTTTACTTAAAGTTGTGGCAAAAACCTATTGGAAACAGTGGCTACTTGCCTCCTTCTTTAAAATCGCACGTGACGTTTTGTCCATGATTCAACCGTTGCTACTTAAGTGAGTTGTTGAGTGTTCAATCATCATTGTTTGTAATACATTTTTGAGTTTCCTCTACATTCACTTCTTTTTTCCAAAATAAAGAACAAGGTTCATCTTTGGCATATTTTGGCCCTGTGAATTTCTGAAAAATCAGACTGCTCGTTTTTAGTTGAAAATATGTTAGATTTTACTTGGACTCTAGGTGTCTTCATATCAATTAGAAATGATGTAATTTTTCTCTTGTCCATGTATTATGACGTCATGAATTGCGTTAATTTCCTCAAATCTTGAAAATTCCTTTAAAATGGCCAAATTTTAAGCCGTTTTTGAATTTTCTTCATAACCCCCCATCTCTGATCTAAAATGTTTAACTATATACTGAAAGAATTATTTCGGAAGATTTTACTCACTGAAACAATTTTTGGAACGCGGGGTGGGCTCATATTTTAATCAATAGTTGAAAAAGTTTAAATTCACTTATTTTCTTCAAAATTCACGAACATTGTAGTTTCACATAGTATAAGTATCAAAACTTGGACTCTTAGAAGAATTTTGTATAGGAAATTTAAGCACTAAGTCTCTACTTTATGATGATATTCGAACTGGGACGTGAGGACTTGGTCAGTTAATTGGTATAATGACATGGCCATTTTATGGAGTTAGTGAAACTACCTCTTTTTCTCAATTAAGATGTACATAAATTAAGCACACAGTTCGGGACAGATCTCCACAGTAATAGCTGTTAAACATTAAATTCGAAACAATTTTTCTATGTAAGAGTTAAGAGACCCACCATAAATCAGCGTTGTTTTGCAGACTGATGATAGATTTCCTTGAGAACAAACACACAGAGGACTGGCCGCTGTGGAATGGCTGGGGACTAGCTATCTTGTTCTTTATTAGTGGGGTAGTGGAGTCGCTGTTCTTCACTCAGGGTGCATTTTGTATGATGACCCTGGGTCTGAAAGTGAAAGTAGCACTAGTAGGACTGATATATCAAAAGGTAAAAATTAAAGTGAAAATAAAATATATTTGTTCCGACGAATGTTGGAATTATGGCTCTGACAATGGAATATGAGATAAAATATATTACAAGGATGGGGTAATTGATGAAAATAATTGTAATTGAGTGTAATAAAATACATTTTTCTAAGTAAGTGGAAGTAATCTGTAATTGAGCCTGCTTTCAATTACAAGTAATTGAATGTATTTAAGTATACCCAGGAACAAAAACTTTGCAAAAAGTTCACAAAAACATGTTGTTTAGAACCAAAAATGAATTCAAGGCCAAGGGATTGATATAAAAATATTCAGACCTGATAGATGTTGCTTAAGTGATACTGTGTTTGAAAATCTAATGATTCTAAAAATGAACTCCAAATTGTAAAAACACTAATTTTAGTACTTGATGCCTGTATATACTTGCATATGTTTTTTCAAATTTTTTGAAATAAAACTGAAGTCATTGAAATGTATTTAATTACATTTGTCAAAGTAATTGAGAGTAATCAGTTACATTTGAAAAAAATCAATGTAATTGTAATTTTAAGTAATTGACAAAATTATCAATGTATTTGCAAGTATTTAATTACATTTCAAAGTAATTGACCCCAACCCTAATATATTATGGATATTTGAGTTGATTTTATACAAAAGCATGGCATTAATCACTGTTAAAGTGAAATTTTGTTTGAAATTGTTTGTATAATTAATGCTTGATTTATATTATCTTAATCTTGATGATTTGTAGTAATTGCTCTAAGCTACAGACTGCAGTGATCTGTCTATGTGATAAGGGCATGACCGCTCATTAAGATTTGGCTGGGAAATTTAGCTCTTGTATCAGCATTGCTGACTTTTATCACCCGAATCTCAGGGGGATTGAATGTCCGAAGTGCTGGCCATGACAAAATGCAGAATTCATAGTGTTCACAATTAACGGGTTAATTTAGCAGTGATTGACAGTCTGTAGGTTGGGCAGTTCTTAATATTTAGCGTAGAATTTGTGTGTTCAATTAGTTACTCAGTCGAGTCCTGTGTTTAACTTTGTAAAGTGTTACACGGGAATACAAAATAAACTTTGTTGGAAACTTTGGGCGTTTTTATTTAAAAACAGAAAGTTTCGGTGTAACAATCACCTCTCCCCTTTCTACCTTAAAAACTGGTTATTTTATTCAATTTAGTACAATGATTTCAACAGTGCCATTTTAATCATTTTTTTTATATTTTCATTCTATTAAGGATTTATTTTGAATGTGCTTTTGATATCTTTCAGTCATTGAGAATGAATAACGCTGCTAAAAGTCACTACACGATTGGTGACATTGTCAATTTGATGTCAGTGGACTGTCAGCGAATACAAGACGCCTTCATGTTTCAGTATGAGATCCTGTCCTTTCCCTTTATGCTGGCTTTAGGTTTATACCTTATTTGGAATCAAATGGGCGTTGCAACTCTGGGAAGCGTGGCAGTGATCATTATCATATCGGCGCTTAACATACTCTTTGGAAAACTTCAACAGAAGTACCAAGGAATCATTCTAGCACTTAAGTCTAGTCGGATAAAACTGTTAAATGAGGTGTTAAGTGGTATAAAAGTAAGTGTAATTTATTAACTGCTTTAAAAATATAGAATCGATGAATTAGGTATTTTAAAATTGTCAAAAACCTGTTTTATATTCTGATTAAATTAACATAGGATTAAAAGACATAAAATATTCATAAGGAGATAGGGGAAAAATGGGTTTCTCTGTGTAGCTTTTAAAAGTGAGGTACAAATTTATGATTTATATTTATGTTCAGGTAAAAAAAAAAAAACTTCTGTTGAGTTTTAAATTGCATATTTGTATCATCTTAGTAAAAGGAAAAATTAACCCGATATTGTTATTTTTTAATTTGATGGCACCAATTCTTCTTTAAGAAATGTTGACTTAATTTTGAATTAATGAAGTGAAACTTTTATGTAGGTTTTAAAGATGTACACGTGGGAGCCACCTTTCACCAAGAAACTATTGAATATTCGGTTACGTGAGATGTTTTTTCTGAAAAAAGTGTGTGTTGTCACAGCTTTCTCAACGCTTTTCTCTGTGCACAGTCCATTTATGGTAGGTAAACATAAAAAAAAATAATTTTGAGGTACACTTTAAGCATTATGATAGTTACATGTATGTATGGAAACTAAATAAAGAAGAGATTATATTAGAAGGACGTGTTCCAAAGGCCTCTTTGCATTAGCCTATTTCTACAAACTGCAAATTAAGAAATATATGTAATATCTTAAATGAAACTTCAAAAGGCTCTCTAATAGCAACTTTGAATTTGAACGTATCTTTCCCTGATGTTTAAAGTATGATACATGCATATGGCATACGTATATTTTGGTCAAAATATTTGCACTTAATTTGAAATTATCTTTCTGTCCTTAAAATAACTTTTATTTGAAAAACAAATTTGTAAAATATTTAAACATTGTTAGAAATACGTTATGCAGTCAATCTTTTTCGAAATATTAACAATTGTATTTCTTCATGACCTAGATAAAAAGATTTTATAATGTTAACTTTAATAAGCATTATGCATATACCAATACTTGTAAGGTTGTAACCATTATAATTTTCAGATGAGCTATTTTGTGTTGCTGATTTTTACCTTGACATCAGGAAATTACCTGGATGCCAGTAAAGTGTTTGTTTCCCTCACCATTATCAACACTCTTCGCTTCTCTATAACAATTGTTCCATTCGTCATCACAGGAATCATACAGGTACTGTGTAAACAGTATAACTAATTGTTGAGCATTAAGTTTACAATTGTGGTACTCCCATTTGTTTAAATATTTGATTAAAACTGTTTAAACAATGTTTCATCATTCGCAGAACTGTATGATTTAATGGAATTCAGTATTTATTCAGGATTTTCCTTTTTGAAATACGGATTACAAATTGGTCTTACAATATGTAAGAACTAACCTTCAGTAAAATGCTCCGACTTTTTTTTTTTTTTCCAGCAATGATAGTAGTGATGCAATGACACTTATTTAAGATACTAGACGTTTCATGTTAATTGTTATCCAGTTATTTACACACTGAATTGTTGATAGATTTTTTTTCGTTCTTTCCCGTTCGTCACATGAGTACACAGTGGATTTGACCGGTCGGCAGGGGATGCTCACTCCTCCATGGCACCAGATCCCACCTCTTATGTTTTGGTGGTCATTGTTTTCTCTGCTCCTATTTTTGCATCGTTTTAATGGACTTTTGAACACTCACACATTTCTTTGTCTTTATATATTTTACATCATTTCTATTGCAATTTTTGCACGATACTTGCTGTCAAAAAATAACATTGAAACAGAAAATTTCGTTTTACTGTAAATGTATTATATTTGGCGTGTACGATGTTTGGCGGAAATTGATTTTTGAACGAGTTAGCATAGATTTGATTTAGTGCATTTCTCAATGTTCTTATTTATGTATATACGAGGGGTGATCAAAAAGTTCGCAAACTAAATGAATAACTTCCATACAAGAAACAATATTTGGTTTTAATGTTGATTATATTTTAAATTGATCCTCTATGATTTTAATGCACATCAACCATCGTTCTGCGCATGCGCGAATCACGTGATATTGGCAGTCACGTGACCACCTCCGTAGCGTTCTGTTGAAAGTTGAAAGATTTTTCCGAGTTTTATATTTCTTTCCATGTGAGTTAATTTTTATGACAAAAACAGTTCATTTGTCAGACATTGCCATATCTCGGCAACAGAATGGATGGATAATAACATCCTTTCCAAATATAAGCATGGCGACCATTAAAACACAAATCTTCTGTCTCAGGAGAGACCTTTATTCAAGGTGGATAGAGAATGGGTGCATCCTTTTTATCATGTCTAATATGTTTAAAATCTAAAGAAAACGATATTTTAGATATTTAATACTCATATCATTGTTCAAATATTCAACTATTTTTCAAAGTGCCAATTGGAGGTCTTTGATAGCAAATCGCTTAATTAAAAGTACATATCTTTTCAAACTTGCTTTCACTGCGCAAGATGACAAGTATCATTTTTAACCATCAGCCTTCCTTCACTAAAACGATTAATCCAATCATTAATTGAATTTATAGGAACTCATTTATCTCTATAAACTGTGTACAAATTATTCTATGATACTGCAGAGGGATTTCTAAGATATTACAATAAATTGTACAGTCGTTTATTGAACGAGTTCGACTGAGACAACCATTTTTCGTCACAAGTGACCTAAATAGTGACGTCATTTTCACATTGTGACGTCACAAACAGGGAGAGAAACTTTATTCAGGATATGCTATTTATAGACCTTGTGTATCGCTATGTGTGTACCGAAGTTCAGTTTGTGAACTTTTTGATCACCCCTCATATGTGCAAGACATTTAGCGTTGTACTTGAATTAGCGGAAGTTCCTTTCCGCCAAAAGCGCTAGAAAGAATACACAGTCAAATGTAATACGTTTACAGTATTTGAATGCAATGTAGTGTTAATAAGAAAAAAAATATACAACTTATTGCCAATAAAAGATTACGGGAGAGATGATGGAGAGAAATCATTAAAATTATACCTAAACTGCATGATGTGAAAAACAGGGAGAATAGCTTATTATGCTACTATTAGCTTATTATGATAGCTAAATAAAGAAGCATTTATTAGCTCTTATTAACAGCAGGGCATTTTATTTATGAATTAATTCCATTCAAGAAAATAAATAAAGTAATAACTAGCCACTCATACAAAAATCTAATGCTGCTCCTAGCCAGATGAAAAAAAAAAAGCTTTAATTGTGCAAAGCTTTCTATGAAGCCAATTAAAACTCTGTCTTTACACAGGCATTTTAGTATTTCTCCTATCAAAGTATTTATAAACCATTGTATACAATTATTACCGAGACCGAAGTCCAAGGTCAACCAATACTTGTCTAGGCGCGTATAGTCAAGTGAAAACCAAAGTCAAATGTCAATAACCGTTTTATTAAAAAATCAGGAAATTTACAACATTTTTGACACTTTAGTTCTTGTAAATATCAAATATAAACACTCACAATATAATGCGTAGTGTAAGCAGAGATAATAATTATTTTTAACAGTTTAAAAAATGATACTAGTAGTTAAAAACAATATTATTTAACAAGAATACTTAACTTTTATACTTGAGAAAGTAGTGTAGTCTATTTGAAAACTGGCGTCTGCCATGTTAACATTCACAACGACACAGGCTTTAAGACGACCAATTTGATTGGTCGAAGAAAATATAAGCAAACTGATGGTAAGTCAAGAGGAAAACCTAAGAACACAACTTCCCAGAATGTCATATGAAGTGAACTCACTCTGAGGTACCTCACACAAAACGACGTCATGACCAATCAGAGAGCATCAAAATTCCTGATCATTTAATAATAATCATATTATATCCAATGCCAATGAATATTTTTAAGGCCGTGTAATTTTTTTAAATGCTGCATATACTATACAGATGCTGGTATCTCTAAAAAGAATAGAAAAATTCCTTTGTAAGGAGGACCTCAATCAAAAGAACGTGTCGACCTCCTTAACCACAGGTATTATTAAAATTCGTAGCTAGAAGGGTAAAATTGGTGAAAAGACCACGAAACATAAAGATTTAAAGAAATGTTTTATTATTCCTCGGTATCTTTCTGTATATCGATTACATTTTATGAAAGCAGAAGTGAAGTTCTGAGCTTTTTAATACTGATTTTGAGTAGTACAGTAAAACTCAGTTAGTACGAACACGGATATAACGAATTCACGGTTATAGCGAAGTTATTTTGGATCCCCAGTTTTATAAATTTAACAGATTTCTTATACGGATATAACGAATTACGGATATAGCGAAGTAATTTCATAAGTCCCAGTGACTTCGTTATAACCGAGTTTTACTGTAAATGGTTGACATAAAAATTATAATAGAATTATGTCTATTGCAGGGTATGCAATTTCTATAGATAACGGATATTTTACCTGGGACCGAAGAAATCGGAAACCTACCTTAAACAGGTACAGTCTGTAAGATGCATATTATTTGAGATATGTATCCTTCAATGTAGTTAATGTATAATGATCCACAGAATGAAGAATGATTTTAAAAAGAAGGAGAGGTGAAGAATTATTTATATGCTTATACATAATTCTATTGTTAAAACAGAATTAACCTTAAGGTGAGAGAAGGTAAACTTGTGGCCGTGGTAGGACAGGTGGGGGCGGGGAAATCGTCACTTATAGCCGCCATGTTGGGAGAGATGGAGAATGTCAAAGGTCACGTTAATGTTCAGGTTTGTCTTCATTTTATAAATTATGATAAAAAAGGGGAAATATACATGTGTATGGAAAAAAAACAATCGAATTATATTTTTAAAATCTATTGCAAGGTCAAGGGTCATGTCAATGTACAGGTTTGTTTTAATTTTATAGATTGTTATGATAAAAAGAGGAAACATGCGATATATGAAAAGTTTCTTTGAATCATATCTAAAAACTAAAAAAAGCAATACGTATTTGATGTTAAATATGCCACAATGTGTATTTCTTTTTCATTTCTAAAGAATAAATGATAAATTAAACTAGGGATCTATATACTACAGTATGAACTATCAACTACTTTTAAAGGGGTCGGTCGCCTACGTACCACAAGAAGCATGGATCCAAAACCTAACTGTGAAAGAAAACATTTTGTTTGGCAGTAAATTTTCAGAGAAGAAATACAAACGGATCATTCAAGCATGCGCACTGTTACCGGACCTGACTGTTCTCAGTGCTGGAGATAACACAGAGATCGGAGAAAGGGTACGTCTTCAGCAAATATTATAATTATATGTATTTTCCAACTAGAGATATTTCATTCCTAAGAGATAATATTCATCACATTTTTCCCGTACACATTATATGCCTCTTTCTTTTTCTATATACTTATCTTAAGGGTATCAACGTCAGCGGTGGCCAAAAGCAAAGAATAAGTTTGGCTCGAGCAGTCTACAGTAACTCTGATGTGTATCTTATGGACGACCCATTATCTGCTGTGGACAGCCATGTTGGAAAATCTCTTTTCAAAGAGGTCATTGGTCCAGAGGGATTATTACGTCATAAGGTGCCTGATATTGATATATCTTTTTATATATTTTATTCGTTTCTCCGTTGCATTATCATGTCAGGATTAAGTCTCATGTATTTTATTATTTATTTTTGTATGACAGACTCGTATTCTGGTCACGCACGGGGTACACTGGCTACCAAAGGTCGACCTAATTGTAGTGATGGATGAAGGGACTATCTCAGAAGTAGGAACGTATGAAGAGTTGATGCAGAAGAGAGGGTCTTTCTCAGAGTTTCTTGAAAATTACCTTCTTCATGAGGAAGACGACACAGACTCAGAAAGTAAGGGATTTCTAAATATGCACTCTGCAAAGATTTTTATAGTTCGAATTGTTCGTGGGTCGCGGAAAAAGAAGAGATGTTAATCTGTTGGAAAGTACATGTCGAGTTAATGTTTTGAAATAATATAAAGTAATGATTCACAGGCCACCTTGATATTTTAAACCAGAGGTTATTTAAGCCTTTGCAAAAAGTAGAACTCCAAATACGTTATTTTTTATTATACTTTCATGTTAAATACTAAAATCTGATTGGTTTAGACGCAGTTAACAATCCATTCTATTACCCTCAGCCTTAGCAACACACGTGACAACGGGTAACACAACTGTAATGTTACATGCGTGGAAATTATGCGCGTACGATTCACCATAGAATTCTCAAAACGTCAGTTGTGCGTTTGAAAGAACCGGACGCGTCGGTTGACAATGGTTTTCCTTGGGGTTTCAATTTCAACTGTTACCCTCCAAAACAGGCACCATTTATATACTATTACTGTAGTATACCAGCACAAAACAATTGTTAACTGATGTACTTTCAACTGGTAGTAGAAGACAACAATTGGAAAAAAAATAACCAAAACAGGATAACCCCCTTCATAATGCTATGTAATCATCTAATTGAATTTGATTTAATTTAAGTAGAAAACGTAATTGATTTGACGATAATTTGAAAATATTTCTTAGTTTTAATCTGATTTCGTGGATACCTTTGCTCACAAATTTACATGCTTAAGCCCTTAGACATAGTTGCAAATTTCATAATTGAACAACTTAGAAATATTCCACAAAACTAAAGCCATACAAAGAAAAAGTTTTTTATGCGCCCGGATAGATAGATCCAAGGCGTATATTGTTTTTGTCTTTTCTGTTTATCTGCTTGTCTGTCTGTCTGTTGTCAACTTAAATTTTCGCCATAACTTTTGAACAATGAGAGATTGTGACTTTATACATGTACTTGGTATGCATAGTCCACCAATAAGGCTCTTTCAAATGACTTTAAGGACAAAACCTTGTGACGTTGACTGTGTATTATATGCTAAAAATAGCTTTTTCAAACTTTCGCTATAACTTTTGAACCATGAGAGATAGAAACTTTATATTTGGTATGTTTACTCCACTCATTAAGCTCTTTCAAATGACATCAAGATCAACGACTTTGTGACCTTTACTGTGACTTATCTGCTGAAAATATTTTGAACGTTTTTTTTTTACAAGCAAACCTAAATTTAATATTATTTTTTATACTGGATTGTCTTTTTTCAGGTGAAAATGAAATAGGTATTACTGCTAGACATGCTTGATTCTCTTTACATTATATAATACTCAGAATTTTGAGACAGGTTTTTGTCTCATTATTGCACTTTGCAAAAAAAGAATGAATTTTCTTATTTGGTATGCATAATGATATTTTATTCTCGTCATCTTCATGTATGTTATTGTACTATTATCTTTATTTTTTCTCAATTGAATGAACGCATATCTACATAAATTGCATTGAACTACACTTTTCTACTTCATTTAATTGACCTGATAATATTATCGTTAAGGTTTTCCTCCTATATTTTGAACTTTGTGATTTCATAATAATGCCAAATTTTACTCATTTGTAAGTCAGTAAATTTGATTTCAACATTTATATACCTTCCTGGGGTTTAATTAAAAATTAATATTTTTTATAATGAAAGTATGTTTAATAAGACAATATCTACTGGTTATAAGTTATTAAATTTCTATTATTTATTTACTATTCGTTTTTAAATTTATAATGTTTTAAATATATAGTCTTTTTATATTTTACTGATAGTCATCATGTTGCCCTGTTGCGTACCTTTAACATTAATTCATTTTATTAGAATTTCTTCAAGAGAAAGGGTTCCTTTTCCATCAGTAAATCTGTTTTAGTTGTCAAGATATGTGGTGAACTTTTTATCAGTTTTTTTTTTCTTTTTTCGGCTTCTAAGATAAGGGGTTCACTTATAATCAGATTTCACTTTAAGTAGCAAATATATAAGGGGAAGAGGTCTTTTCTATTCGTATTTCTTGTCACAAGTTGTTTAGATAATAGGAGTCCATTTTGCTATTAATTTTCTCATTGAGTTGCCAACATGAAATGTCCACTTTTAGCTCAAATGAAGTGAAAGCTCAAGTGCGCTTTTCTGATCACAATTTGTCTGCAGTACGTCCGTCCGTCTGTCTGTCTCTTTGACTTTCTGTAAACTTTTAACATATTCGACTTCTTCTCGAGAACCATGCTCAAGTGAGATTTTCTGAGGTTTCAATGTTCAAATGAAGGGTCTTGCTCTATTTCAAGGGGGAAATAATTAAAATATAGTGAAAATTTGGCGGCATGTTTAAAAGACTTCTCAAGAACCACTGGGTCGGGAAAGATGAAACTTACGTGGAAGCATCCTCAGGCAGTGTAAATTCAAGTTTGTTCAAATGATGACCGCCGGGGGTAGGGTGGGTCAACAGCGGACGATCAAAACTACATATTAAGAATATAAAAGAAAAAAATCTTTTAAAATCTCAAGAAAACGAAGGTCATGATTAATCATATTGAAATGGAGGTAGTGTAGTTTCACGTTTGTTCAAATCATGTTCTCTGAGGTAGGGTGGGGCTACAATGGACGATCAAAGTTTTACATGTAAGGAATATATAAGAAAAATCATTAAAAAAAACTTTCCTCTAAAAACAACACAGTCATGACTTGTAATATTTAAATGGAAACATCCCTAGGTAGTGTAGATTTAGGTTTGTTCAAAACCTGACCCCGGGGGCAGAATGGGGACACAATGGACGATTAAAGTTTTACAAAGAAATATAAAGGAAAAATCTACTTTTTTTAAAAAAAAGATCAATCAAGCCATGACTGGTCATATTAAATGGAAGCATCCTCAGGTAATGTAGATTCAAGTTCGTGCAAAACATGACCCCTGGAGGTAGAGTGGGGCCAAAATGAAAGTTAAGACTTATAGGGAAAAAAGCCAAAGTATGGCAAAAAATTCTTTGTAAGTGTAGATCCAAGTTATTTCAAATCATAACCCCCTCCTTTTCTAGGAGTAGGTCGTGACCACTTATGTCTTTACGCTTTTCAATCACTACTGGATCGATGTTTGCTATTTTCATAGCCATCGTAGTTGCCAAGATAATTTGTTCACTTTTACTGGAACTTTGATTATTTTTTTATAGTTGCAAAGACAAAGGATGAGATGTGGGAACAGCTTGAGTCTGTGCCGGACAATGGATTGTCTGCCGATGATTCGGATCTCTCAAGACAACAAAGTACAAGGTATTTGTGTTGAGTGCCTTGTATTCGTTAATGAATTTCCTTTCCTCTTTACTAAAACGAATGATTTTTAGCTCACCTGCGCCGAAGGCTCAAGTGAGCTATTCTGATCACACTTTGTCCGTTGTCTGTCGTTGTCGTCGTCGTTGTCGCCTGCGTTTACGTCGTCGTCGTTAACTTTTCACATTTTCGACTTCTTCTCAAGAACTACTGGGCCAATTTCAACCAAACTTGGCACAAAGTATCCTTAGGAGACGGTAGTTCAAGTTTGTTCAAATGAAGGGCCACGCCATTATTCAAGGGGAGATAATTTAGAAATAATTAAAATTTGGTGGTACGTTTTAAATATCTTCTTCTCAAGAACCACTAAGCCAGGAAAGATAAACCTCATAGGGAAGCATCCTCAGGTAGTGTAGATTCATATTTATTCAAATCATGTCCCCCAGGGGTAGGGCGGGGCCATAATGGCCTATCAAAGTTCAACATAGAAATATAAAGGATGATTCTTTAAAAATATTCTTCTCAAGAACCACTGTGCCAGGAAAGATGAAACTTATAGGGAAGCAATATCAGGTAGTGTAGATTCAAGTTTGTTCAAATCATGATCCCCAGGGGTAGGGCGGGGCCACAATGGCCGATCAAATCTTTACATAGAAATATATAGGAATTTTTTTTTTAAATCTTCTTTTCAAAAACCACTTTGCCAGGAAAAATGAAACTTATATGGAAGCATCCTCGTGTAGTGAAGATTCAAATTTGTTCAAATCATGACCCCAAGGGGTAGGGCGGGGCCACAATGGCCAATCAAAGTTTAAAATAGATATATATCGGAGAATTCTTTAAAAATCTTCTTCTCAAGAATATCAAAGGCATGAATGATCATATTTATATTGAGCCATCCTCAGCTAGTGGAGATTCAGTTTTGTCCAAATCATGACCCAGTAGGGCCACAATGGCTGATCAAAGTTTTACACAGAAATATATTTAAAAAAAATTTAAATCTTCTCAAGTATAGCAAAGCCATGATAAGTCATATTTATATGGAAGCATCCTCAGGTAGTGTAGATTCAAGTTTGTTCAAATCAAGACCCCTGGGTATAGGGCAGGGCCAAAACATGCAATCAAAGTTTTACATAGAAACATGTAGAAAAAATCTTCTTTTCAAGAATGGGAAAGCCATGATTAATCATATTCATATGAAAGCATTCTCAGGTAGTGTAGATTCAAGTTTGTTCAAGTGATGACCCCGTAGGGTAGGGCGGGGCAACAATGTAAGTTCAAATGTAAAGGGCAATAAAGCCACAGGTAGTCAAATAAATATGCAAGCATCCTTAGTTAGCGTAGTTTCAAGTTTGTCCAAATCCCACCCTCTACTCTTTAAGGATTAGTTGGGACCACTTTTGGGTTTAAGCTTTTCAATAATAAACTGATTTTCCTAGCCACATTGTTCAGGTGAGCGATTAGATTAAAGAAGGCCTTAAATATTTCTGATATATATCTGAACAAATAAATATGTGGTGACAAACTTCTGTAGGTTAAGAAAACAAACATTTACGAGTTAGTGTGGATTTTTATAAAATTAATAGATATATCTATAAGAATTATTGTGTTGACGGACATGAATCTTAAGTTAAACTGCCCACCTCCCTCCTTTCGATTTCCATGGTCATGCAGGTTTAATTCCATCATAAGGAATTAGAAATTACAGGAAAAAAGTCATAAATACTCATGAAAAGAAATTGATGGATATTTTTTCAGGAAAGTATCTTTGCGAAGAAATTCTCGATGTTCCATTCCAACAGACATAAAACTTCGACTCTCACAATCACATCCAATAGTAGAAACAGGTAATCACTTGATGAAGTCCATGAACAATGCCGAATCAAAGCGACACTTTTCGAGGTCAAACACGAAAAAAGATTCGTCCAGACAGGACGAAATCAACCCGCTTGAAATACTCCAGAGATCACCATCACAGGGGCGGATCCTACCATACAATAGTGGCGGAGAGTCCGAACCAGCAGATGGAAAACTGATCCAAGGCGAAAAATCGGCGGAGGGGACGGTATGGACTCAAAAAATTAATAGACTAAATTTCTAAAATATGTTCCAAAAAGAATTGACTTTTTTCCCACAGATGTTTGTTTTATATCAAATATTTCAAATGTTCCAATATTTAATAGGAAATTAAAACAAATGAATTTTAAAAAGAAGTAATATTTATTCTTAGGTGTTCTGTATTTTAAAAACGCTCGATAACTTGTATAAAGAACTGTTTCTTTCAGGTTAAACTTTCCGTGATTTTCTTTTATTTTAACATAGATTATTATTTCATTTATTTGATAATTTTTAACTATGTCCAGGTGATATTCTTTGAAATTTACAGAAAATTGATTTGTAAAAAAAAATATTTTCAAGAGAAGGGATAAAATTTTAAAACCTTCAAAAAAGATAAGCAATAAAAAAAAATTAAAATCTTCCTTTAGTTTACCTACATTAAATCAATGGGAGTGATCGGTACCGTCCTATCAATGTTGTTTGTAATGCTTTTTCAAGGACTCAATGCCTATGGTAATTTTTGGTTGACATTTTGGACTGAGGATGAAATTATCAAAAATCATTCTCTGGTCACGGCACAGGAATATTCGAACCGGAAGTACTACTACCTGGCAATTTATACCGTCCTAGGAGTTCTTCAAGGTCAGATTAAAATGCAAAAGATAAAAATGCAAAATATTAACAATATTTTAAATTACCTAACTTTATTAAGATAAAATGTTTTATTGATGTTTCTATTCCAGGAATTTTCCTGTTCTTGTTTGCCTTCCTTGGACTCACGAGATTGATAACTGCTTCCGGATCCCTGCATTCCTCCATGTTATTTTGTATTTTACGTTCCCCAATGTCGTTATTTGACACAACACCTGTGGGTCGGATCATGAATCGTTTTTCTAGTGATATAGATATATTAGATGACCGCCTTCCTCGAAGAGAGAGAGAGAGAGAGAGAAAGAGAGAGAAACAGAAGGGAGAGAGAGATGAATGGTAACTCGTCACGGAAGATGGTGGGAACCTTCATATTGGGGGCTGTGATGCTATTTACCTTGTTAGCCATTTTGGTTGTGATATCAGTCAACACGCCTGATTTCCTAATTGTTATAATACCGGTGGGAATTTTCTTTATCTTAATTTTGGTAAGACTTAAGGGACTTTAACATTTCAATTTTTTTTTTCTTTGCGAAATCAGTATGTATTCAACCAAATTTTCGGTTAAAACAGTAAATCTTGAAAATCAATTTCAAAAGCAAAATATCAAGCTTATATAATTATGTTCATTAGGTTATTATATCATTTACGATTCCAATGAAGGTGTAAAAAAGGGACCAAAATTCTAAGTTATAAAGGATTAACGAGGCCCAATCTACTTGATCTGTGCATACGTTTTAACGCAGCGTCGACTAATACAATAACGTCATAATTAAAATGACGTCAAATTGCGCTAAAATGTTTCGCTGATCTTGCATACTTGGTAGCTATTAAGCTGGCTCATTTTCGTATTTCTATTATTTACATGTTTCAAACTTTTTTAATTAATAATCAACTGAAGAACATTATTAACTTTGAGGTATCAATTTCTTGGTACAGATTCATTAATTTCATCTGATTTTATTTCAAATAATGAGTTTGAGAAAACAAACAAACAATGCAACTAAAAGTAAACGATTTTAGTCTTTCTCATGAACATGAAGAGTTTATACACACCCCTTTTTCTGCAGAATTAAATTGCATGGATTAGCTTAAGTTAAAAAAATAATAAATCTCTAATTCATTCATATGCAACCACCAAAATATTTTATTTTTCTATGTAATACATGATATTAATAAAATTCTTAATGTTGTCTCCTTTTTATCGCTCCCCCCCCCCCTTTTCCCTTCGTAAAACAACGTCGTGTGTTAAGAGAAAAATAAAGCATAGAGAAAAAGATTATTTCATAATGTAAGAATTATTTTAATTTTTAGAAACTAATACAGTCTTTTATGTACAATCTTTTTTGACATTATGTAAACCAATTGAGACGTATAAAAATGTCTAGTTGGATAAAATAAGTCCTATTTTTGTGTTTTTATATGTTCCCTTTTCATTACAATAAAGGCTACTCCCAATTTTTTCTTTCTTTCTTTTAAAAGAGGAATGAAAATCGTATGAAAAACAAAACATTTCATCATTTATTGTTTTATTTGTCAATTACTTTGTTTATTGGGGAGTTTTTGTATGACGTTGTGTATAAGTCACCAAAAAAAGGTCCATATCTTGAAAGTGTCCCCATTTAACTACAATAAAGGCAAGGTAACAAAATTTCATTTTTAATTTCTTAGCATAATACATTTCAAATACACTTCCACGAATTAAAATTTTTTATCATTCCGTTTTCGTAATTTCCAGCTGGATTTGGGCCTCGTTAAGCGAATTTCAGTTATGTCCTTCCAGGGACATAGCTTTAAAAATTTTGAAATTTATTTGATAAAATTTACTCTTTCTTATTAATATCAATTTGCTTTCTGTGTTCCAATTTAATTTTGAAACAACATAGTTATTTTTTTTTCTTTTCAAGTAAATTAACAATGAAGAGTCAATGACTGTTTTAAAAATTCGTGTTTGTCAATGAGGTGAATTAAAAAAAAAATATATGAAATCAACATCAAAAAGGGACAGTTTCACTTTGCAGTCAGTGTTCTGAATAACTAAATTATATGTCTAGTGATTTTTTAATCTGTTCTGTTGCTTGATTTCAGAGGTTCTACCTCCCTACCGTCAGGCAACTGAAGAGAATGGAGGGCGTGACCCGCTCCCCTGTATATAACCACTTTAGTGAGTCTATCACCGGTGCCAGCTGTATCCGAGCTTACCGAGCCGTGAACCGATTTATTACCGAGTCCCAGGTCCGAGTAGACACAAACACAACATTCTATCACGCCGCAAATACAGCCTCATGGTACGTATCTTTGGAACATCCTTTCTTCGCAGAAAACGCTTTAAGGTGAATAAATTTATATCTACATTTGCAAATGTTTGCCCTTATATAACACTATTTGAACAAGGAGTTTTTACATGTTCGTCAATTGACCATAAATTGATTGTTTAGTCATAAGCGATCTACGTAATTTCATAGTGACGTCATAAGTGAACGACGTGTTCAATGTATTATACCGTTGAGTTTTGAAAAAAAATGTAAATCTCTTATGGATTCAAAACTTCAGTGCCTTACTATTTTTTTTATAAATCAGTCACAAATGTAAATGTAAGCCTTCAGGCTTCATGGGGTTTGTTCATGTGACCAACCCGTTTTACATCCTAATAAAATCAAAAATACCTTATTTCTTGTTATATGAATCAACAGTTTGAGATTTGGCAGATACTGGGAAGTTCAACAAATCAAACAGGTCATCAAAATTGACAGGAGTTTTGGAAAAGAGAATTATTATTGATGTAGTATATTGTAAAAATAAATGTATTTTCTATATTTCTTTAATGTATCAACATTCACCATCATACAATATTTGTTAAGAAACCTAACTAATTTAAGTAGATTATTACTTACTGGTAAGTAAAAGACATATCGTTTTATTTCCAACAGGTGGATTTCTATTCGACTTGAATTCTTGGCAAATCTTCTGGTGCTAGCAGCCGCTGTGTTTTCCGTTCTTTCTGATACTTTATCAGGGGCAGGGATAGGACTCTCCCTAACATACTCATTACAGGTATATATTTACATTCCGTGTATTTTTCCTTATGAAATTCATTAGAAATCCACGACATTCAAATTTCTATAACACACGCGAAACCTTGTCACCTCGCGTTAGAAGATACAGTAGGAACTACATTGTATATGCATTTTTTCTATAATCTGGGAACACCAAAATGTACAATGTTTTGACTCAATTTAATTAAAAACTATAATCCTGTTAAATTAACGTAAAAATACTACAAATGTGCGTTTAAAATTAATTTGTCACTTTTTTTCCTCGCAATGTTTGTTTGCGTTATTTAAAATTGCAACGTCATCTGACGTCACAAACGGCTCTTACGTCTATTAACCGCGTCAGTTTTGAAAGGCGTTAAATTCACATTCAAGATTAACGAAATAAGCAATTATGAAGAAGGAAAATTAGAGAATGTAAATATAAGCATTGAATTCATATTTTTGTCTGTCTTCGGTCCTATAACACACCTGGCCGTGCCGACAAATTTATCATACCGCGCTAACGCGCGGTATTCAATTTGTCGGCACGGCCAGGTGTGTTATAGGACCGAAGACAGACAAAAATATGAATTCAATGCTTAAATAACGTACACATTACAGGTATAACATAATCATTACAGGTATAACAAACTCATTACAGGTATATAACATACTCATTACAGGTATATCAAACTCATTACAGGTATATATTTGCATATCCACTGCTCTCTCCCACTATAATCCTGCAGGCTTCAACTTGGTTCATAGCACTATAGACGCAACTGCTCGTGCTATGAGTGCAATTGCTCTATCACACTCGTGCATAGAACAAGCTCTGCTACACTTGTAAAAGGTGTTTAGAAGTATATATATGAAATGTTTCGTAAAAGGAATAAATATAAGTTTTTAATAATATTTTTTGGAAAAAAATAAATTCAGAACAATTTAAAATTGCTGATTGATATCATTAAAAATTTAATTTTGGTCAATGTATTTTATTGTAATATAAAACTTTTAGAAATTGAAGACAACTCCATATTTTTATTTTTTCTTATCATATTTTTGCATATTTGTACAAAGAACGATAACTGTTCACACTTGGGTTATGAAACATTCAGAAAAAGCAGTATATGTCTATTTCAAGAAGGATTTCAGCTCTTAAAAATAAATAGAAAAAACTTAAAAAATTATAGAAAAGCATTCTGGAGTTATAATCATTATTAAAGTATTCCGTTTTCATCATAAGGTTAAAATTATTGATTTTTGTCAGAGGGTTTCAATAACGTTGATCGATGACGTCATAACTGAATCAAAACAAAAATTAGGAGATGGGATGTGACGACGGCGCAGCTTGTATCCAGATACCTGTGTTAAAGAGGCAAACACTTTATAAATTGTTTGTGATTTATTAGAGAAAAGGTGCAATGATCAGGCATACTAATTTTATAGCCGTGTGTTTTTTCTTTACTGAAAACAACAAGCCACATCCATATGTAAGCCAGGATTTCCTCTGATATTCTTGACAACATCAAAGAATGCAAATATAAGTAATAAACAACGATTATTTAGTGAACATGGCATTATGAATAGCAATAGCTCTGCTGGCATATTTTTCATGATGCGCTAGCACGCATCATGGAATATGCCAGCAGAGCAATTGCTATTCATAACGCCACATTCACTAAATAACGTTGTTTATTTCTTAAATAACATACTCATTACAGGTATAACAAACTCATTACAGGTATATAACATACTCATTACAGGTATAACGTACTCATTACAGGTATAACAAACTCATAACAGGCATATAACATACTCATTACAGGTATAACAAACTCATTACAGGTATATAACCTACTCATTACAGGTACATAACGTACTCATTACAGGTATAACAAACTCATAACAGGTATATAACATACTCATTACAGGTATAACATACTCATTACAGGTATAACATACTCATTAAAGGTATATAACATACACGATACTGGTATAACATATTTATTATAGGTTTAACATAATCATTACAGGTATATAACATACTCATCACATGTGTAACGTAATCATTACAGGTATAACTTAATCATTAGAGGTATATAACGAACTTATTACAGGTATTTAACATACTTTTTACAGATATATAACATACTCGTTATAGGTACATGTTTATAAGATACTCAGTACTGGTAAAACGTACTAATTACATATATAACATACTCATACCAAGTATAATATATTTATAACAGACATTAAATGCTACTTTTTACATGAATTTACGTAACATCACCACAAAATCTGAATAGAATTTATAACCATGGGGTAAAATATGCCATGGCATTCGGTTCAACTGAAATAACCCGAAAGTGTATACAAACGGTAATACCGAGAATCCCAGATTTTGATTAATGTTACCCAACTTTTATTCGCGTTCGATAAATTTTCGGGAGTTTCGCGAAAGGAAATTTTTTGCGGCGAAGTCTCTGTTTCTATTAACAACAGATCGAAATAAGGCTTGTTTGCGAAAAGTAATCGTCGCAAAATAGTTTACCCCTGTTAAATCGAGATATAAAGTCGTCGCGAATAAAAGTTTGTTTATAGTACATACGTATTGTTAAGGCTTAAAGCTGAAAAATATAAATATTACTATCCATAGCTATCACATTTTGTTATATATATGTGAATATGAGCAGCGTGCAATACATTTCATTACAGGTTGTAATATCCCTGATGCTGGTCGTCCAGTGCGTGAGCGAGATGGAGATGAATATCGTGTCAGCAGAAAGGGTAGAGGAGTTCACGAGACTTCAACCAGAGGTGAATTAAATCATACCAAAGTAATAGTCACAACCAATTCCTATATTTTTGTGAATACATGCAATTAGATGCCCAACTCATATAAATGTCCATATTAACCATTCCATCTTTGCAAAAATAATTAAACCCACTTTAAACATAATAATTTTCATTGACAGTTGCATAAAATGTAATATTTACAGGCTGAATGGATCGAACCAGAGAACCGTCCATCTTCTACTTGGCCTGAAACGGGGAAGGTGGAATTTAAATCATACTCCACCCGATACCGGGCGGGTTTAGATCTCGTGCTGAGAGGACTCGACTGTGTCATTAAAGGGGGCGAAAAGGTTTAGCAACATCATCATTCAGCTACAAAAGTACCTTGTTGATAATTTTTTGAAAGAGAAAAATTAAATCATTGTATATGCCATTTTTAAGCAAATTTTTAATATTTAAGTAAAATATTGCAAAACTGCAAAATGCATCGACAGCTACGTTGGTTGTTTAAAATTTCTCGTCACGTGACTCAAGTGTTAAAGTGATGAAAAATAAGCAAAGGCGACATTTAATCAAAGTACTCAGAAGTACAGAGAGCCGGGCTCATTAACAGAGTAGAATGGATTTCTTACATGAATCACGTTTATATTCTGATGAAGAAATTATTTTAAAACTATCAATATAAATGATAAGACAATGACAGTGAGTTTTTCAATCCTAATACCACGGTCCGATTTTGTCAGAATCAGAATTAATCTGGTACCGCAGCTGAATGTAAACAAACAGGCCAGTCTGGTTCCCTCTTCTGCCTTACCTCGTATGTGTAGAGAACTACGGTAACACTGATTATCAAAAATCCTTACGCTAATGAACTATGTTCTTTGACTTATGAAGTTTTCAAAGTCATTACTACAAATGTTTATTTTATATAGATAAAACTTCGTTTTATTTTTGTTGCTTTATTTAGCGTTTGTATTATCTCAAAAGCGATTGAGAGTAAGAACTATTTTTTTGCACGTAACTTTAAAATGGCGACTATTGGGTTAACATCCTGCCTTGAACAGGATCACATAAGCCGGCAATTGCTCTTTGAGCAATAAGCCCGGCTAAAAAATCATTTTCTTCATTATTTTTAATTTCTAAGATATTTTCAGGGATGTATATTTTAGTTACATTTAAAATTTTAATTTTTTCTTACCTAGATAGGTATTGTAGGTAGAACAGGAGCGGGGAAATCATCCATGACGCAGGCGCTGTTCCGCATCATTGAACCAGCAGGTGGTGACATTTGCATTGACGATATGTCGATATCTTCTATTGGTCTCCATGATCTCAGATCCAAAATAACAATACTACCTCAGGTAAGTTATTTCTTCAAAATGAATCCAGGATAACTTTGATATGGGTTTTAAGCAAAAAGCAACTGACTTATGGTCATGCATCATTACAGTTTAAATTACTGCATAACTATCGACTCTTTATTACACTTTCTACTTTACTCCATAGTTTTGATTTATGAATGATTTATGAAGTATTTTTACTTTAATCTAATGATTTGAGTGATTGCATCAATATTTTTTATTCTTGATCTTCTTTTAGTATAAATACTCAGTAATTCTTTATTTACTTTCAATTGCTATTTTCATTTTGATGTAATATATTAAGATATTTAATTGGCTAATTGTTGCATTTCCCTATTACCTTGGTCTATAGTACCGAATAATTACTGAAAATGTGTATTTTGCTTTCTATACTTCTTTTGAAAAATAGATTATTATTGAAATTTTATAGTCTGCTTCTACGTTGACCTGAAGTACTAAAATATCTTGACAGCTTTCAACCAGTTGTATTTTTTCAGGATCCTGTCATATTTTCTGGATCCATCCGTTCTAACTTGGATCCGCTCGAGAGATTTTCAAATCAGGATCTTTGGGTGGCGATAGAGAGAGCTCATATGAAAGACTTTGTCACTAGCTGTGTAGGGCAGCTAGATTACGAATGTGGGGAAGGGGGTCAAAATTTCAGGTAAGAGCTCAGGTGAAAAATACAGGTGAAAGCTCACGAGAAAACTTTGGGGAAAAAGTTTGGATAAAAACTTTGTGTGAAAACTTCATATGAGAACTTCAGGAAAAAGTATGGATTCAAACATTATATGAAAACGTCATGTAAGAACTTCAGGTGAAAATTTTGGGTTTTTTTTTAAGAATCACGGTATCTTATTTTAGAAAGTGATTAAATCAAAACACTTGATAACAGATAAAGTCGATTTTTTTTTTAGTGTTTCAGTTTTTCACCTTTACGAAACTTGTCGACATTGAATGTTTTCTTATTGTGAACAATATTTTTTTTCAAAATGGGGACTATTTTTTGTGTATGATTTTAAAATTTAAATTTATGGGTACAGTCCACTAATTTTTCCATAGGTGACAATGTTAACGTTTCTTCTCATAGCGATGTCCCTAATTTTCGTTCAGCAGTTAGTGACCTCTAAAATCAAAGCACATCAAGTTGTCTTTCCTTTGTTAAAATCTCGAGGTGGCATGTCAGATTCGTTTTCCGCAAAATTTGTCTGTCTGTGGGAACCTCTGAAAATGAAAGTGAAACAAGGGGAATTTCAGACTTCTCACTGGCGTTATGATTCACAAAATAATTCGGTTGATCTTCGTAATAAATTACATTTGCCAAGCTATTTTTAATGCAAGTTTGCAAATTAAGGAACTTGTAATTATCTGCACTTATTTCCTCTCCTACCGATTCTAAGAATAATTAGAGGGATGTACCCATATATATGTTTGTCTTTTAATATGGATGATGCAAGATGCAATTTTGTGACTTATGAAATGTGTAATAATAAGTGTATCTTTAAATTATTTATTTATTCCATGTTAGAAAAGGCTCCATTTTGAATTATATCTATGTATCGATGTATGTTTTATATCTCTTACGTAGCGTTGGTCAGCGACAGCTGGTTTGTCTGGCTAGAACTCTACTACACAAGACAAAGATCCTGATTCTGGACGAAGCCACGGCAGCCGTGGATGTAGAGACAGATGAACTGATCCAGAGGACGATTAAAGCAGAGTTCAGTGACTGTACTGTACTGTCTATAGCTCATAGACTCAACACTGTGATGGATTACGATAGGTGAGTTACTGACTATAGCTCATAGACTCAACACTGTGATGGATTATGATAGGTAAGGTACTGTCTATAGCTCATAGACTCAACACTGTTATGTATATTACGATAGGTGAGTAACTGTCTATAGCTCATAGACTCAACACTGTGATGGATTACGATAGGTAAGGTACTGTCTATAGTTCATAGACTCTAGACTGTAATAGATTACGATAGGTGAGTAACTGTCTATAGCTCATAGAATCAACACTGTGATGGATTACGATAGGTAAGGTTCTGTCTATAGTTCATTGACTCAACACTGTAATGGATTACAATTGGTAAGATACTGTCTATAGCTCATAGACTCGACTCTGTAATGGATTACGAAAGGTAGGTAACTGTCTATAGGTCATAGAATCAACTCTGTGATGGATTACGATAGGTGAATTACTGTCCATAGCTCATAGACTCAAAACTGTAATGAACTACAATAGCCAAAATACTGCCTATAGCTCAGACTCTAGACTGAAATGGTTTACGATAGGTGGGTAACTTTTTATAGCTCATAGACTCAACGCTTTGATGGATTACGATAGGTGTGTTACTGTCTATAACTCATGAACTCAAAACCGTAATTGATTACAATAGGTAAGATACTGTCTATAGCTCATAGACTCTAGACTGTAATGGTTTAAGATAGGTGGGTAACTGTACTCAAAGACTCAACACTGTTATGGATTACGATAGGTTAGGTACTGTCTATAGCCCATAGACTCAACACTTTAATGTTTTACGATAGGTGAGGTACTGTCTATAGCTCATAGACTCAACACTGTAAAGGATTACGATAGGTAAGATACTGTCTATAGCTCATAGACTCAACTCTGTAATGGATTACGATAGGTGAGTAACTGTCTATAGCTCATAGACTCAACACTGTAAAGGATTACGATAGGTAAGATACTGTCTATAGCTCATAGACTCAACTCTGTAATGGATTACGATAGGTGAGTAACTGTCTATAGCTCATAGACTCAACACTCTAATGGATTACAATTGGTAAGATACAGTCTATAGCTCATAGACTCAACACTGTAAAGGATTACGATAGGTAAGATACTGTCTATAGCTCATAGACTCAACTCTGTAATGGATTACGATAGGTGAGTAACTGTCTATAGCTCATAGACTCAACACTCTAATGGATTACAATTGGTAAGATACAGTCTATAGCTCATAGACTCAACACTGTAAAGGATTGCGATAGGTAAGATACTGTCTATAGCTCATAGACTCAACTCTGTAATGGATTACGAAAGGTAAGTAACTGTCTATAGCTCATAGACTCAACACTCTAATGGATTACAATTGGTAAGATACTGTCTATAGCTCATAGACTCTAGACTGTAATAGATTACGATAGGTGAGGTACTGTCTTTAGCTCATAGACTCAACACTCTAATGGATTACAATTGGTAAGATACTGTCTATAGCTCATAGACTCCTGACTGTAAAGGATTACGATAGGTGAGTAACTGTCTATAGCTCATAGACTCAACACTCTAATGGATTACAATTGGTAAGATACTGTCTATAGCTCATAGACTCTAGACTGTAATAGATTACGATAGGTGAGGTACTGTCTATAGCTCATAGACTGAACACTCTAATGGATTACAATTGGTAAGATACTGTCTATAGCTCATAGACTCCTGACTGTAATAGATTACGATAGGTGAGGTACTGTCTATAGCGCATAGACTCAACACTGTAATGGATTACAATTGGTAAGATACTGTCTATAGCTCATAGAATCAACACTCTAATGGATTACGATAGGTGAGTTACTGTCTATAGCTCATAGACTCAACACTCTAATGGATTACAATTGGTAAGATACTGTCTATAGCTCATAGACTCAACACTCCAATGGATTACGATAGGTGAGTTACTGTCTATAGCTCATAGACTCAACACTCTAATGGATTACAATTGGTAAGATACTGTCTATAGCTCATAGACTCAACACTGTAAAGGATTATGATAAGTAAGATACTGCCTATAGGTCATAGACTCAACTCTGTAATGGATTACGATCGGTGAGTAACTGTCTAAAGCTCATAGACTCAACACTCTAATGGATTACAATTGGTAAGATACTGTCTATAGCTCATAGACTCAACACTCTAATGGATTACAATTGGTAAGATACTGTCTATACCTCATAGACTCTTGACTGTAATAGATTACGATAGTTGAATCACTGTCTATAGCTCATAGACTCAATTCTGTAATGGATTACGATACATGTAGGTGAGTTGCTAAGTGTTTATAGCCCAACACTAATAATGGATTGCGATATATGAGTATACTATTTCATCTATGACTGAATGACTCGATTCTCTCATGGATTATATGAAACTGATTGTATTAAAATCATTATGGATATCTTTAATCTATTTAATCATTAAATTCTATTTTTTTTCTCGGATTTGTGGAAAATATTTTCTAAGTAATAAGTAAGTAAATGATATTTTCAAAAAATATTGTCCAGTCTATATGATCAACATGTATGCGGCTGACGATATTTTAAATGTTTATTTTGTATCTAATTATAGAAAACGTCAAGCAATCTGTTTGTTTTTAGCATTCTATAGATCTAGAATCATAATATTACACCTTTTAATTGAAGTTTAGAGGACAAACTTAAGTGGCAGTCTTTTGATGATATTTGTTTTTGTTATATTTTAACAGAATAATGGTAATGGACAAAGGATTGATAGTTGAGTTTGGTGCCCCTAAAAAACTACTGGAAGATAAATCCGGGGTCTTCTACTCGATGGCTAAAGCTGCAAACCTCGTTAACTAACATATTTTATCTAGAATCATTACAGTACTGTGAAATCACTTATTTTGATGGCCTTTCATTATTGTTGTTTTCAAGGTATGAAGAGATTTCCACCTCGACATGCAATTTTTCATATACATGTACATTACTACAGAAAAATTTTTCAACCACGAAATCAAATCCTATGGACCAATTTATTTTCCTCCACGAAAATTTGACCTTTGGAAAATATGTGATTTTACAGTGCTATTTTGTTCCTGTTTCTCCATAAACGGATATTCAAATTTTAAAAATGATTTGTGTTCAATCTTTCTTGTTTTGAACATATTTTATTGACAAAACGTCAAAAGGATTGGACACAAGGTCCAAATACTAGATTGTCCTCTCCCAAACTTTTTCAATTTTGTCGGATTCCTCTGAGAAAAAAAACTTATAGATTGATTTTCGAAATAATGATAATTTATCAATTAATAATAAAAAGTAAATAGATTTATAAAATAATTAACAATTATATAATCATTATTGATAAAAATCTGTTTATTTAATTTTCCAAATTGACGATACAAACCATTTTATTATTTCCCTTAAAATTTTATTCAATCGTTTTATTCTATAAAAAGAGTTTTATGCTAAAATATGTCTCAAAGTATTTTTGTAGCGTAAAATCACTACTTTTAAGTATTTTACTTCAATGAAGGATATTTAAAAAGTGTCTTCTTATGCACAATCTTACTTTATCAATAGCTTTTTACTAGTGTTACTTTGTTTTAATTAGAATAAAAATCGTCGCTCTGCCACAAAATAATTAAGGTAAAGTGGTCAGTGATAAAAACAGTAGGAGTCATGACTTTATACCCCGAGTCACTGGTAAACTATCAATGGCTTGGAAGTTCTTTCAAAACAGTGTTAGGGTTTCGAGAACCATTTTTGTTTCCTTGAAGGGAAGTAAAAGTATATAAAAAAAAATCTGAGGACGGATTAAGATAGTGCATAATGAGACAAATATTTTGATATCCATCATGAAAAGTAGGTTTAATATGATTAAAGATACTTTGATGCTGATTTTAGCGTAAAACTGTTTTCATAGAATAAACGAATAAAAAATTATGACCTTGTAGTTTTGTGTCTAAAAGATGTGTCGTTGAATAGACAAGAGGGAATGTTGGCGGGGAAATGAGTGGCGCTTTGGACCGGAAGTGGTAGAGCCGCATTCCAAGGACTCTTACTGATAACACATATAAAAGTCCAAAATAACGAGGAATATGGTTTCCGAAATTATTAACAAGTCCCAACGATGGAAATGATTAACATGGAACAACAAATAATCAGTTTGATATGGCCATAGTTTCCAAACTGTTAAAAGTAGAAACAGAACATGATGGGGAACGAGTCGGACATGTGACCGGTAGTACACCCGGCCACCGAATTCATAAGTAAAATTTGACAACAGGAAAATTAAACAATGAGTTGAAAATGACAGTTGAAATACGTTGATGACATTGACATTCGGAACATCGATTATGGCTGTATAAGGGATAAAAAGGTCCTTGGGTATAAACACTCTGCCCCTTTGGTGTCCGACAAGTGTCACTCAGTTTACTAAATGAACAATTAGTAACTTAGCATATGAAAGGTTTGTTAAATGCCACTTTTAAAAGAAAATAATTTCAGAATATTAAATATCACATTAAAACAAAAAATTAAATTTATCACTTAGAGTCGAAAATGAATCCTAAGTAAAACAGTCAATTTCACACGGTAATATAATGTTAAAGTACTGTGAGTCTTAGTAACGTTCCGTGACTGTTCCTGTATGAGATCCCAAGATAGACAAGGTTCCTGGTAGCTTATACTCTCCATAAATCGATTAACAGCTTCGTTTATTCTTACGACAAAGTCTTACATTTTCATATCCGGATTGGACTATAGGTCAGTGAGCCCTTTCAAGAGCTTATTTTAATTCATTTAATTTTATTTTCTTGATTAAAATAATTGTCTCAAACCCAATAGGTTTACACTATTCTCATTCTAAACCCAATAGATTTTCACGATTCTCATTCTCAAACCCAATAGGTTTACACTATTCTCATTCTCAAACCCAATAGGTTTACACTATTCTCATTCTCAAAACCCATAGGTTTACACTATTCTCATTCTCAAGACCAATAGGTTTACACTATTCTAATTCTCAATTCAAATAGGTTTACACTATTCTCATTCTCAAACCATTAGGTTTACTCTATTCTCATTCTCAAGACCAATAGGTTTACACTATTCTCATTCTCAAACCAAATAGGTTTACACTATTCTCATTCTCAAACCAAATAGGTTTACTCTATTCTCATTCTCAAGACCAATAGGTTTACACTATTCTAATTCTCAAGACCAATAAGTTTACACTATTCTTATTCTCAAACCCCATAGATTTACACTATTCTCATTCTCAAAACAGTAGGTTTACACTATTCTCATTCTCAAACCCTATAGGTTTACGCTATTCTCATTCTCAAACCCGATAGGTTTACACTATTCTCATTCTCAAGACCAATGAGTTTACACTATTCTTATTCTCAAACCCCATAGATTTACACTATTCTCATTCTCAAAACAGTAGGTTTCCACTATTCTCATTCTCAAACCCCATAGATTTACACTATTCTCATTCTCAAAACAGTAGGTTTACACGATTCTCATTCTCAAACCCTATAGGTTTACGCTATTCTCATTCTCAAACCCGATAGGTTTACACTATTCTCAGTCTCAAGACCAATAAGTTTACACTATTCTTATTCTCAAACCCCATAGATTTACACTATTCTCATTCTCAAAACAGTAGGTTTACACTATTCTCATTCTCAAACCCTATAGGTTTACGCTATTCTCGTTCTCAAACCCAATAGGTTTACGCTATTCTCATTCTCAAACCCAATAGGTTTACACTATTCTTTTTCTTAAACCCAATAGGTTTACACTATTTTCATTCTCCTGGTGTCTGGGGAGAGGTAATTTTTTTTTGGGGGGGGGTACCATATTCAGTGGAGTATTTTGTTACATTTTTGAAATCTTTTTCACAGGTGCATATTAATCAGCTAGTTCTAGCAACAATAACTTAAACAGTCAAATGATATAACCATGATTTTTTGTTATATTCTTTCCATTATAAGGATAAGTTTTGGTCGCATTCAACGCAAAAACATTGTTCAATAAAAAAGCAATTCACTATGAAGTATTAAATTTAAAAAAAAAAAAAACTTGACAAACAATTAAACACGACACCAGACTCGATGAATGGTGTGTACACTTCACTGTTAATTGAAGCAAATATTAATACATTGATTGCTACTTAATTATAAATATGACAGATGATAGATGTGCATGTACATGTATAGAATCCAATCCATAATTAGTGAAGAACAATGCACAGTTATCTTACAGGGAACTAGAAGTACTACTGACAATGGATATCTGGATCCGCCTCTGACCATCTACAAAAAGAATTGCCATCTACTCTTACTTCCTCTCGACTAAACATAAACTAGTGTATCTATGAACGGATATGTGGATTTGTTTACTACTTGTTCAATATCATGCGACACCGGACATTACGTAACACACCACTTATATACACACGTAACGATACCGGACCTCGTATATGTTACCGTGTCAAGTCTAATTTATGCCTAGGTCACATTTAAGGCGATGGTCGGGCGACTAAAGTTTTCTGGTCTTTTCGGCTGAAAGAACAGGATCGGCCGACACAGTATCGGGCGACACAGATCAGTTACGTTATTTCCTAGGGACACCGATGACTTGGATGAATAACACAAAAAAATTCTTTTTCTTTAGAAATCAGCAATTTTTTTTCATAGATTTATATTCAGATAGGGTGAGTAATGTTTCCAAGGCAAAGTGGCCGAATCTTATAAAATTGTGACTCAATGTTAAAAATGTGTGCAAAATTTGTATGGAATTTCCTAAAAACGGAAATGGTGCATATCTAAACAGCAAAGAATACTTAAGATTACTTTATATCTTACGGATTAAATATTTATGTTATTTCCGTTCAAAAAATTTATATCCATCCATGCATCAAAATTTTGTTTGTGTTATGTATCCTTAATAGGTTAAATATTCACAAGTCGGTCAATCGTCGCCTGATCATCGAGCTCTGAGCTACAGTTTGATTTTAACCGTCGGCCGAAATTTTCAACACCCTTATTGTCCAACGACGGACGACCGACTTAATAAACTGACCGCCGATGGTCGGACGATGATCGAAGGTTGGTCGACGGATAACTGCAGTTGACGAAATCGGCCACCGACGCATGAAAAATTAGAACTTGGACCGATGGACACAAAATTGGTAGGCCGACAAAATAATAATTAAGTCAAAATCGGCCAAGACAACGGCCGATGAACTGACGACTGCCATTTTTGCTTCAAAACCCGTCGGCCGTTGGTCGTTTTTGGAAATGTGACTGAGGTTTTACCGGACGAAATTTTAAATTTAATTTTTTGGTATGGAATTCACATGACTTATGCATATTCTTAACAATTTTCAATAAAATAATAAGTAGATAAATCAAATTTCACATACTGAAAAATGAAGACTTTTTATGATATTTATTTTTCATTTTTATGTAATACATGTACTTTGTTAACTTGAAAATTGTTGAGAAACTCGAAATGAAAATGAATCAAATATTTTTCTTTTACGTCAAAAAAAAACCGATTTGGTGGCAATTATTATTATTTTATAAAAGACTGTGCACCGATCTTTCTAAATAAATAATACGACCACAAAAATTTTATTAGTTAAACGCTCTTTTATTCCAACAAATGGAGAAATACGCACATTTTTCTATGCTTTTTACCTGAGAGAATGCGACAGCTTTAGATCTCTACTGTGACAAGCGAGCAGGTCAACTTAATTCAGGACAGGACCTTTGTGTACATTTACCATATCAAGTTTGTAAACACATTCGATATTTTTGTTGAAAGCGTGTCCTTGAATAAACAGAACTTTCTAACACGGGCACGGATCTAATTAATACAAACTGTAAAAATATTACTGGTGTATCAAAATGATTCTAATATATATTAATTTTTAAATATCCTAAAGAGTTTATTTTAACCTCAACTCCCTTCCCCGGTTATATCTTTAATTTATTTTAAAAGACATAAAAATTCAAGAGACGACAATTTTATTGAATGGCGTGCCTGGGAATTTTGATAACGGTGTTCTCTGCGCGTGAAGACAGTGTGTATGTAAAGTCTATATGTGTACATGCAAATATTAAGTAGAGGAGGCATGCTCGTGCAATCAATTAACCTATGCTGTGTTGATGAGGTTAATTATAAATACGGAGTCACTTTAAATCGGTACAAGACAAAGGTCCACCCTTCACTACCGGGGTATGTCTTCGGTGTAATAGCATGGGAGAACGGAGATTCGATAGCTCAGATTCACCTTTGCTGGTCAGTGACGATATATAACTTACAGTACGCGGCTCAATAAACATGTACTATATTCGATGTATAGGATGTTGGAATTATTTCCTGACTTCCCCGGAAAGCGCTTAACTTAATATTAATAAAAGAATGTTTGTGAACGGATTCATTTATATGTCATGTACCGTGGATTGATTGTTGCATATTAGAGTATAAGGTGTTATTGATACATAATTAAATAACAAAGAGACGATTATTTAGTATATTACAACATGAATTTGAGGAGTTACGGATATTTGAATAACATGTTGCTGAATGTTACTATTGTGTGGAGATGAATTATGAAACCCTGGTTATATGCAAATCTTAAAACAAGGTAAGAGAAAAGCGTGCATTACAGGGTATATATGTATAATAATTATTCAATTGTCATTATTACATCAGTGGATGCAAGCTGTGCAGTATCTTACTTATTAACCCGGTTGAAAATATTGATATATGCATGTACATAATTGTTCCCCAAACCAATGATCAATTTTGTGAAATGAAATGCTATTATATTTTTTTACTGTGACTCGTAAATGCTATTATATTAGTTTTACTGTAACAGTTTGCAGCCTGAAAAATTTATAATTAGTATATATAAATGTCCATGTTATAGATTCCCTGCCCACCTTGCTATTGTAGGTAGGACATATATCGTAAGAAGATCTGAACTTTTTTTGTTTGTGACCCTTGTGTGACCTCTGAACTTCATGCTCTGGTGACCTCCTGTCTTTTGATTAATGATGCTAAACGATATGGCCGACGTTAATACAACAGAGAACTACTCCTGTCAGAAAACTTCATTATGGGTAAGAAGTAAAGGAATAAAGAATGTGGCGGATCAAGGGTGAAAAGTTAACTCTGTAATATGAGAGAGAGAAAGAACTCTGTGGCGGATCAATGGGTATAAACTAGTGTAAGTGAGAGAGAGATTGATTTATCAGTTGAAAAAACATCTAGTTTATATTATTCTGGTCCTTATTTTTAAAAAGAAAACTGGAAATAAGTTCTAGCGGCAAATAATCATTATTTGGTCCAGCATAGTTTTTAAAAACTTATTTCGGGTGTGCTGAATCCGAAAATTTTATCTAAAATTCCATATTAAAGTGATAACATCAGTAAGATTAACACATCATTTTTCCTTTTTGAACGACGTTAAGAAATAATTACAAAAAAGAATATCCACCATTATGAATCGACATTTTGACTTATAATGCACAGCTGCACCATCATTCATGATCAGTTGTAAAATAGTGAGATGCGAAGGAAAAAATACTTATCTGCAGTGTATGGATATTTGTAAATGTAAAATTCTGAACAAAGTAGAATAGGAAAATAATAGACAAATAAATCAGAGAAAAAAATCGAATTAAGTGTAGAGAAGACTACATTTTCTGAATTAAAATAATAATGTTAGTATTCTTTTATCATTTTTATCGTTGCATTACATCCAGTGAGATATTCACACATTCTTTTACCTATTTAAACAACATTAAAAAATGAGGGAAATTGGATGTCCGCCATTTTGAATCGCCATTTCGACCTTCTTAACGACTTTCTCATGAAGGCCAGCATATTTTTTGGATTCAACATACCTAAAATAGGTTAACTATTGAGTATGCTGAACCAAATTATAATAATTTGCCGCTAGAAGTATTTTTTTCTGTAAATCAGACCAGACTAAATGCATAAAATGAACATTTAGCGATGTGATTAAATATTTATACAGTGTACAAAATAAATTTAAAACATCACAATGAAGATAAAATATGAAAAAAAAAACGAATTAATAGAAAGATGAAAACTAATCGGGCAATTTAATGATATGCATTTTTTTCAGAATGATGATATATTTTCCGGTTCGGCTCCAAGATTTCCGGACTGTTTCCAGAATACGGTATTAGTCTGGATTCCATGTGGATTCCTGCTTCTATGCTCACCATTTCAGATCGCTAGCTTGTGTCACAACTATATCGGATATTCTCTGCCTCTTGGGATCAGAAGTATTATAAAAAGTGTGGGTACAACAATAAATTTCATTTGAATATGAGAGAGAAAAAGAAGAATATATGTTTGTGTGTGTGAGAGGAGAGGATGTGTGTGTGAGAGAGAGAGAGAGAGAGAGAGAGAGAGAGAGAGAGAGCAATAGTTACGTTTTTTCTCGATAGACCATGAACTAGATTTTAAACTTCCAAGTGGAAACATTATTCAATGGCTATTTATAATATATCATCCATAGCAGAATTTTTGTAAAAAAATCATATCAAAATCTGAAACTGAAATTTTTGTATTTTTTATTTGTTTTTCACAAAATTTGCACAGTGCATTAGTTCCACAAATGAAAACAATAACTGACATCAAACAGAAAAAATAGATTGTTTATTGAATACTTTGCATTTAAGTGAAAGTGATGATAAATTGTATTTCATCCTGTCAATATTTACAGTTGGACGATTTTAATCATTACTATTTTTGGTGACCCTTCGTTCACCTTTGAAGAGGATAGATCGAATCATAAGATACCATTCTTCCTACCTTAAGATTTTTAAAAAAAAAACGTTATACAGTCAAACTCGATGGAAACGAGAAAAAAAATGTCGAGATGTCACAAGATGCAAGACAATGACGGAACAATACTAAAGAAATATATAACTTCAAATCACTTTAACTTTAATAAGCCATTGTATTTGAGATATCGAAACGTTGAGATACCTATAGGCTCAACTGCATGCATTGTTTAATTTATAAAAAAAAAAAGTTCGTTATCTAGGGTGAACATCTTCAATATTACACTAAAATGCATGCAATATTTATATACATGTACTATTCAAGGATTGTTCGATAGGGCGAACGTCGATTTATTCATGCATTAAACATTTACTTTTATTCGTTCTTAACAACATTTAGTAATATGAGTATTCTACAAATTCTTGCAGCTTCTATGTATAGTTCTGGCTGCCCTGACATGCGCAACCATGGTTTTATCTTCTACACGTGGATACCGCTGCGATTCGGACTCTACGGTACCAGAAGAATATTACATAGGCGCCGGGGCTCTAATAGTTGTGTTCGTAAGTGCATTATTGCGTATGGTTTACTGTAATAAGATTTTATCAATCGACATATATTATGTAAAAAAATCTAAGATTAAATTTTATTCTCTTAAACTTTTAATTCCTTTGTTGTAGGTATACTTAGCCGTAATCACTCAGGCACTACGTAAAAATCACGTGATCTCTTCCGGGATTTTGATTACGTTCTGGATTCTACTTCTAGGCTGTAGCACTGTGCCATTGCAGTCAGCAATATCATATAGGGTAATGTTTTAATACAGGGCAATATCATTAAGAATAATGTAATGAAACAGGGCAATATCATTCAGAGTAATGTTATAATTCAGGACAATTTTAAAAAGAGCATTTTATATTAAACAGAGTAAAGATTTAATACAGGGTAATATCATAAGAGCAATGTAAAAATAATTTATCTTCTAATACAATATCGTTTAGAGTAATGTTATAATGCAAGAAAAATTTATACAGAGTACAGCAGGTCATTAAATTTTTGTGACACCTTATATTTGCGAGAAAGGCATTGATTTTTAATAAGCGAGACAAAATTGTCACGAATTGTGGTCATTGCTCTATATAATCCTGAGGAATACTATTATACGCTGAGAATTAAACTTTTGCCAGCACACTACCTCGTGTAATTATGCGAAAATAAAGTTCTCGCGACTAGAAAGTGATTTACAGTAATTTTATATCAAACAGAGTAACGTTAAAATTCAGGGCAATATTATACTGAGCATGTTTATATCAAACAGAGTATTATTATAAGATTGGGCAATTTATTATACAGAGTAATGTTTTAATTCAGGACAATATCATACAAAGTAACGTTATAGTACAAGGTAATATCATACAAAGAAACGGTACAATACACTTCGATATAAAACAAGGAAATTTTGTGATACAGGGCAATATCTCACAGATTAATGTTATAATACAGGACAATATCATATTATAAAACAGTCAATATCATACAAAGAAATGTTATAATACAGGGCATTTTCATATATGATAATGTTATGATTGAGGGCAATATTATACAGTGTTATGTTACAAACAGGGCAATATCATTCAGATTAATGTTATATTTTATATTATCACAGAGATTAATATAACACACAGAACAATATCATTCAGTGTGAAAAAAATAATCAGACAGTTAGGGTAAGATAGGACAATATTATATAAAAATGTAATTATATAGAGCAATGTCTTACAATAATGTAACCTCACTCGATAGAATATATATTTTATATAATATACAGTTGATAATTAGCTTGATGTGTATAAATCCTTTTGAATTGCAGGACAATATCATACAGAGTACTATAACGCTTTATGTGTATTAATCCTATCTTTTTATTACAGCCGAGTTGTGTCACCAGTATTATATACTATGTCTACTTTACAATCATCTGCATACAACTTGTTCTGTATTCATTCGCTGACAAGCCTGATCATCCGCATTATACTTTTCTTGGACAGGTAAATTCTAACTTTACTTATAATGATAATAACAATATGTATTCTTACCTGACAGATAAACATTCTAAATTTTGTTTCTCCTGACAAGTCAACATTCATTGTATTCTTTACTCTTACCGATAGAGAGTCTAAATACTCAAATTACACTTTCCCCGGCAGTTTAACACACTAAATACACTTTTCCCTAACAGATAAATACTCTAATTATATTTTCCCCTGATACTCGAGCACTCGCTCTTTCCGTGGACAATTTAATGCTTTTGAGAATTTCTTAGATTCTACTTATCTGTAAACAAATACCGGTATGTCAGGAATATTTATTATTGAAAATAATATAGCAATTATAATCAGATCAGTTATAATAAAAAAAAAACCAAGAACATCAATATATCAAAATATAACATCTAAGTCAACAACAATCACTATTTAAAACGTCATTTTCGTCAAAGTCAAAAACGCCACTGTCACGTAATCAAAGAAAAATACCGTATTATAATCAAAGAAAATGACATCACAGTATAAATTGCTATATTATAATATACAAAAAATATTATCTAATCAACTGGATTCTGTAATTTTTTTCTGCAATAACTGCGACGTTAACTCCCGTATTAATAACCAAAGAAAGACATTTTATTGTTTATAATTATATGTGTATAAAAATCATTTTACGTAGAATTCTAAGAGATTTATTGGTTAATTATTAGCATGTACGTACTAGTATGCTTAATTGATGGAACAGCCACTGTTGAAGAAATTCAGAAGAGGTGATATGCCTAGTGTTGTTCAAATAATGATAAACGGCAATGATTTTCTCAAAAAATAAATGAAAAATATTCAGTGAATGTAGTCATTTGGTATATTAATTTATGTTGTACCCTCTTACATACAGTAGTTTTTATTGTATTTAGTTAGTTGTAAAGCTTTTAGGGCAACCATTATCTGCAACAAGAAATAAAGATCAACTAGAATAGTACAAACAAGAGTTCCTCGGGCATAATTTGGTATATTAATTTATGTTGTACCCTCTTACATACAGAAAGAAAATTCCCCGGAGGAGACAGCGTCTGTCCTCAACAGATGGGTTTTCTGGTGGTTTAATGGGTATGTTTTCATTGACGTCGTAAAGTTAGTTTAGTTGTAATTTAGTTTAGTTGTAAAGATTTTAGGGCAACCATTATCTGCAACAAGAAATAAAGATTAAATAGTACAAATGATATCAAAAGATTTCATGGCATTTGAATTTCAATCCTCTGTATTTCTTATAAAGTGGAGACATCATTAGTTTAATTCTTTTGATCAAGTAGGTAATTCCTATGGCTTAGACTCACGATGACCCGCTTTGGATATAACGGAATGATTTCATTAATAATTGAATTTGGCTTCTGTTAACCCGTATTTATATAAAAATCTGATTTCTTTGGTTCAGACTTGTAATGAAAGCGTACAGACAAACTCTGGAAGTAAAGGACCTCTGGAACCAAGTGGACTACTTGCGATCAGAGACGTGTGTCCCAGAACTAGAACAAAACTGGAAGGAGGAAGTTCACAAACAGGCCACAAGAAACGTCAGGTTTGTCGCGGGTAGCTGGAACAGCAATAACAAAATATTAATGTTTAGTTTGGTCCCGTCATATTAACAGAAAATTCAATTATGTGTTAAATTATGAATTCAGTTACACATAGATCAAAACCATGAAGTATGATAAACTAGCTTTATAAAGGTATAAAGTTATTTCTTTTATGTGTGTGTACTGTTATGTATTGGGCGAGGTCATTTTAAAATGTAAGTACAATGTACTATTAGATACATGTATATTGCAAATCTTGCATTGGTGAGTGTTTCTAATAGTTACTTTCTGCATATTCAGAATGCAACAGAAGTTTTCCCATCCTTATATCTACCAAAATGGTACTTTCACATCTGAATCAACACCTCTTATATCCAATCAAAAATCAGATATAGATGACGACGAAGAAGGCTCCGGGAATTTCCACCAAGCAAGACCATCGTTACTTAAAGTTGTGGCAAAAACCTATTGGAAACAGTGGCTACTTGCCTCCTTCTATAAAATTGTATGTGACGTTTTGTCCATGATTCAACCGTTGCTACTTAAGTGAGTAGATCATTGTTCAATTATTATTGTTTTAATACATCTTAGGGTTGAGACTACGTTCATTTCTTTTTCCAAAATAAATTTTCCTCAATCAAAATGCACATAATTCATACATACCGTTTGGGACAAATTTTCATAGTAATAACTGTGTAGCATAACATTCGATAGTGAAATCATTTTTCCCAAGAAGAGTTAAAAGACCCACCTTAAATCAGCGTTCTTTTGCAGACTGATGATAGAATTCCTTGAAAACAAACACACAGAGGACTGGCCCCTGTGGAATGGCTGGGGACTAGCTATCTTGTTCTTTATCATTGGGGTAGTGGAGTCGCTGTTCTTCACTCAGGCGGCATTCTGCATGATGACCCTGGGATTGAAAGTGAAAGTAGCACTTGTAGGATTAATATACCAAAAGGTATAAGTCATGATGAAAATAAATATAATTTTTCTGTTGAATGTTGGAGTTATGGCTCTGCCAATGGAATATGAGAAAATATATATTATGAACATTTGAGTCGATTTCATACAAAAAGCATCGCATTGATCACCTATACCCCTTTTACCTTAAAACTGGTTATTTTCTTCAATTCAGTACACAAATTTCAACAGTGCCATATTTTTTTTTCTTTTTTAGATTTTTTTTTTCTATTAAGAATTTACTTTGAAGTACTTTTAATATTTGAATTTATTTTTAATATTTTTCAGTCTTTAACAATGAGTAACGCTGCTAAAAGTCACTACACGATTGGTGACATTGTCAATTTGATGTCAGTGGACTGTCAGCGAATACAGGACGCCTTCATGTTTCAGTACGAGGTCCTCTCCTTCTTTTTCATGCTGACCCTTGGTTTATACCTTATTTGGAATCAAATGGGCGTGGCAACTCTGGGAAGCGTGGCAGTGATCATTATAATATCGGCGCTTAACATACTCTTTGGAAAACTTCAACAGAAGTACCAAGGAATCATTCTAGCGCTTAAGTCTAGTCGGATAAAACTGTTAAATGAGGTGTTAAGTGGTATAAAAGTAAGTTTGCTTCATTCAGTTTGCTTTCAAAGTTGTAAAATCAGCAAACCTGGTATTTTCAAAATCATCATGAACACGTTTTACATTCTGAATAAATAAAGATGGTGTAAGCTACCTTGGAATAGCCAAGCTTAAGTCAAGGACGCTACAAAATAAATACTAGTAGTACTCCTGTACCAAAATCCTTGTTCCTCTGGTTATGGGGAAACATTAGATTCGTCTTGGTCCCAACAATATTTAGAAAACATAAATCAGTTCTCATTTCAACAGCTACAATAATAATTTTGGTGGCGTCTACCGTACAGGCTACTAATATAAAAAGGGGGTACAATGGCTATACTAAGATGACCCCCACAGTTAATTACAATTAAATATGAGTTAGTGTGTTGGGAGATAATTGTCGATCATTTTCTCACCTGAAATCACAATGGTAATGCTATATACGGCTACGGTGAAAATATGAGCAGATCTTGGATTTATCTCTTTGAAATATACGCGCCTGACAACTCGGCAAATTATCTGTTAACATAATGCGATCGGCCCCTATATATAACCTTCGGAAATGGGTCACATGACTAGATTCAACCAATAGAAATGCTGTACGGCGACGTTCCAACAATCACGGCACTGTACGGTTCCGTACAAACAGAGATCCGCCAAGCAGTGCCAAACAAGGTTGGCGTACAGTGATATCGAGGATAATAACTACAAAACGGAATTAATATGTGAAAAGACAAAATAACCAATAAATATGGATTAAAAAAGATGTGTCTATTATAAGTAAGTAAGCAATGTATCTCTGAAATTTGTAAATTTCACATAAATAAACTTGCTGAGTATTCAGAGGATATCGCGGATGGATAAAAATATAGTCCAAGTTGTAGACACAGGTAATCAGGAATAATAATGGGTAAAATGAATAGAAGAACCCATAATAATAATTAACATAATAAATTGCAAGTAATTATACCCGTGATATAGCACGAATAATAATGTACATAGCATGCGCCAATATAAAGATGGCAGACAGAATGTAAACAAGTGGCATGACAGCAGATGATTCAATTTATTTCAGCGTATCTACACATGTAGAAATGCTAAGATAGATACAGTTAACTCAAGAAATACATGCAGATTTAAGATGAAAGCTAACTAAATCATGGCATTTAAAAATAAATACAAATTCTAACATCTCGGCCAATGTTGTCACAACGTTTTGACACACATGAAATATCATAAGTAAAGTCCACCCACCCAATAATTATTACATAGTACTGTAAGTCAAATTATAGCCATCTGACAGGTTCTTACAATAGGATTAAAAGACATTTAAAAAATGGCCAAAAAGAGAAAGAAAGAAACTGAGTCTCTCTGTGTAGTTTTCAAACGAGAGGTACAAATATTTGAGTTATTATTATGTTCAGGTAAAGAAAAAAAAACTTCTGTTGAATTTTAAATGGCATATTGTTATCATCTTAGTGAAAGGAAAAATAAACTTTTAAGCTGTTATTTCTGTATCCTGAACACGGCACCAATTCTTCTTTTGAAATGTTTACATGTATGACTGAATCTTGCTGAATTAATAAAGTGAAACTTTTTCGTAGGTTTTAAAAATGTATACGTGGGAGCCATCTTTCACTAAGAAACTATTGAATATTCGGTTACGTGAGATGATTTTTCTGAAAAAAGTGTGTGTTGTCACAGCTTTCTCAACGCTTTTCTCTGTGCACAGTCCATTTATGGTAGGTAAACATACATATTATTTTTGGTTACAGTTTAAGCACTATGACGAGTATGTATGGAAACTAAAGCAAAGTTTAAATAAGATTATATTAGAGTGACTTGTTCGGTAGGCCACTGCGCATAAGCATAAGCCTGCGCATAAGCCTATTTCTACAATTTTCTCAATCAAGAAATACATGTAATATCTTAAATGTAACTTTAAAATGCTCTCAAATATGAAATACACTGAAACTACTGATGTGGAGCTTATCCTTCCCTGACATCTAAATTATGATACATGTATATGTAATACGAACATTTTGGTCAAAATGTTTGCACCTAATATGAAATTATCTTTTTGTTCTTAAAATATCTTTTTTTATTTGAAAAATAAATTAGTAATTTCTTCAGAAATTGTTAGAAATACGTTGTGAAGTCAATCTTTTGCTGAATATTAACGATTATATTTCTTCATGACTTATATGAAAAAAGGTTTATGTTTACTCTAATAAGCATGGATATTCATTATGGTTACCAATAATTGTAACTATTATAATTTTCAGATGAGCTATTTTGTGTTGCTGATTTTTACCTTGACATCAGGAAATTACCTGGATGCCAGTAAAGTGTTTGTTTCTCTCTCCATTATCAACACTCTTCGCTTCTCTGTAACACTGGTTCCATTTGTCATCACAGGAATAATACAGGTCAGTTTAAGCAGTGTGATGATTATCTACAGAGCATATAGTGAACAATGGTGAAGCTCCCATTTGTGATAATATTTGATTAAAACTGTTTAAACAACGATTCATCATTTGCAGAACTGTATGATTAAATGGAATTCAGTATTTATTCAGGATTTTTTTAATTTTAAATACGGACAACAGATTGGTCTTTGAGAACTACCTTTCTGTGAAATGCTCCCGTTTCTGTGAAATGCTCCGAATGTTAAATTTAGGTTTTTTAAGTCTAAAACAATAAATCCAAAATTCTCAGGGGCCGTCATGAAAAAGTTGCAAACTGATTCTCAAATTCTCAAAATTTAAGAGTGAGTTCAGAATTTTTTTTTTGATGTTTCAACTAACGTTAGGTTATCTGAAACTGAACTGTCGACGGATTGTCTCGATCCTTCCCGATCGGCACACGGAGTACACGGCGGATTGATCAATTTATAATTTGCAACACTTTTGCAACACAAAGAAAATCTAATTTTGCTCCTATTCCAGAAGACAAAAATCTTAAATTCTATTAAGCTTTCTACAAAGCTAATTATTATGATGTCCTTACGCATATTTTTACAGGTCTCTAATAAAAACAGTTATATACAATGATAAGAATTATTATATCCAAAGCAAATATCATATTTCTAGGGTCATGTCTTTTTTTGATTGTCACATATACGATACAGATGCTGGTGTCTTTGAAAAGAATAGAAGAATTCCTCTGTAAGGAAGACCTCAATCAAAAGAACGTGTCGACTTCCTTAACCACAGGTATTATTTAACTTTTAACTTTTTGTATGACGGATGACCGAAAATTACTTGGTCAGATGGAAATTTAGTAATAATATGGTTCAAAATTACTCATCCGAAATTGACCACGTAGAACATAAAAATTCAAAACAATTCTTATAGTATTTTTCTATGTATCGGTAAAATTTTGTATCACGACTATCTTTTGCAGGATATGCTATTTCTATACGATAAACATAGTCATGTTACGAGCGGGTTACTCTCTCCTGCCTATTTTACCTGGGACACGAAAAACGAAAGAAAACAATTCCGCAATTTGGTTTTTTGCGCCGGTCAACTTACTGTCCTTTAACTGGCGCATGCGCGCGTCTTTTGACTAATTTTTTAGCTGGTTACCCAACCCAATATAGCCAGGTTTGAAAGATGTATATTATGCAATAAGATATTGAAGATAATGAGAGATTTCGATTTTCACTTTTGTATTCTTCAATAACTCATGAATTATTAGTCCAATTTTTGGTTAAGTATAAAAGTTAGTAGGAATACTGAAAATAATTAAAAGAAAAATAAATATCATCTAAAGTTTAAGTAAGAAGGATAAAATTGGTGAAGTGACCACGAGACATAAAGATTCAAAACAATTCTTATAGTATTTTTCTATGTATCGGTAAAATTTTGTATCACGACTATCTTTTGCAGGATATGCTATTTCTATAGATAACGGATATTTTACCTGGGACCGAAGAAATCCTAGAACTACTTTAAACAGGTAAGATGTATATTAAATAAGATATGTATTCTTCCAGGTAATTTAAGTATAATTGTCCGAAGAATGAAAAATTATCTTAAAAAGAAGAAGGGGTGGTGCATTACTTGTATGTCTGTATATAATGGTGTTTTATGTTCAAACAGAATTAACCTTGAGGTAGGAGAGGGTAAACTTGTTGCCGTGGTAGGGCAGGTGGGGGCGGGGAAATCGTCACTTATAGCCGCCATGTTGGGAGAGATGGAGAAGGTCAAGGGTCATGTAAATGTACAGGTTAGTCTTAATTTTATAAATTGTTATGATAAAAAAAGGGAAACATATAAAAGTTTATGCAAAATGATTTTTCGAATTACAGTAAAACTTGGTTATAGCAAAGTCCCAGGGACCTGTGAGTTTAATTTGCTATATCTCTAATTCGTTATATCCGTATAACGAATTCGTATAACGGTACCATATATAGTGAATTTTCAATATGCATGTCTTTCTTCAAGTATTACTACCAAATATGTTAGGCAAACAAATATTACATAAAATGCCTTCGATAACTGAGGTTTTGTTATAAATTGAATTTTTTAAACAAATGATAAAAGAAATAAAGTCATATCAATTTGTTAATTTCTTAGATCTTTGAAAGTTCTGTATAAAAAGATGAAAATTTCATTATATTTAACCTCAACTGGATTCAAAATCAGTTTGCTATATCCACAACTTCGTTACATCTTAGTTATTTATAGCCTAAAATTTTCCGTGTTCGTACTAAACGAGTTTTAGTGTATATCTAAAAACTAAGAAAATATGTATTTGAAGTTAAATATGCCACAAAAATTTTTTTTTTTACTTCTAAAGAATAAATGGTAAATTTAACTAGGGTTCTATATACTACAGTAAATAGGTTCCGGAATTAACAATATCATTTTTTGTAAGAAATAAAGTATTATAAAGACAAAAAAATCATGCTTAAATTTTGTTTTTGATAAGTAGGATTTTAATTAAGTGAAAACGCATAAACTTTCAACCACTTTTTAAAGGGGACGGTTGCCTACGTACCACAAGAAGCATGGATCCAAAACCTAACTGTGAAAGAAAACATTTTGTTTGGCAGTAAATTTTCAGAGAAGAAATACAAACGCATCATTCAAGCATGCGCACTGTTACCGGATCTGGCTATTCTCAGTGCTGGTGATAACACGGAGATCGGAGAAAGGGTAAAACTAATGCAAATTTTATGATTATGTATATTTTTAAACTAGCAATGTTTCCTTCCTAAAAGTTAAACTCTAACTTATTTTCCTAATATGCATTATATTTCTTTTATGTTAAGGGTATCAACGTCAGTGGCGGCCAAAAGCAAAGAATAAGTTTAGCTCGAGCAGTCTACAGCAACTCTGATGTGTATCTTTTGGACGACCCTTTATCTGCAGTGGACAGCCATGTGGGAAAATCTCTTTTCAAAGAGGTCATTGGTCAAGAGGGATTATTACGTCACAAGGTGCCTTATATAAATAGATCTTTTCATATATTTTATTGCATTTGCTGTTACATATTCGCTGTATCATATCAGGGGTGAGCCTCTTTATCTAAAGAAAGAATGGTTCCGCTTCGTCACCACACGAGACATTGTATGTAAATTTATTTTGTCACAACTATTCTTGATACAAATAATAAAAGTAATGAGTACATGTCAGCTCTTGTCGTATTTATTTCCGAGCAAGAATTAACTACAAGTAAAATTACGAAAGTTAGTCACCAGTTCAGAATAAAAATTTAAATGAAAATAAGAATTTTCTTGTTGTTATGAAACATCTTTTTTTTATTTAGCAATTTGTTCTCTGTCTTTCTTTGTTCTATTGGTGCATGTAATATTTTTAATTTAAAATGTGCTGAATTAAAAAAAGAATTATAGGATGAATTATTTTCCTTATCTATCTTTGTAAAACAGACCCGTATTTTGGTCACGCACGGAGTACACTGGCTACCGAAGGTTGACCTAATTGTAGTGATGGATGAAGGGACCATCTCAGAAATAGGAACGTATGAAGAGTTGATGCAAAAGAGAGGGGCTTTCTCAGAGTTTCTTGAAACTTATCTTCTTCATGGGGAAGACGACACAGATTCAGAAAGTAAGGTCTTTCTAAAAGATACATTCTACAAATAATTATAGTTTAAACTGTTTGCAGGAAAAACAAAATGTTTAAAGGTTTTTTTTATCATGTCTCAAATTATTTTTTGATATACGAGGGTTGATCCAAAAGTTCATGGAATTTCTTTCTAAAATTTTATCGTAATTTGATGAAAGCAAACAACAGGCATATTTATAATAAAGAGTCATAATGCAACAATATTGGAAAATTTCATCACTTTCCAATCACCAATAAGGTCACATCAGCTTTCTGAAAATGGATTGTTGTGAAACCCGGGGGAGACTTCGACGTTACGTTAAATTTGATACGTCACGTCATGTTTTAGAAGAATCTCACCCTAAAGTCCAATTCGAATATGTAGTTCTACAAAATGCCGCCCTTTTCTCCATTTTTTTCGCAAGAAAAGCCTGGGTATCCTCTCGCACAAACTTATCTTCATTTTTCACTCATATTTCAAAATACTCCCCATCTTTCCATATGATGTTCCAATTTCAGTAGCAATGTCAAAAACAATACGTCACCTAACAAGGTCCAATAAGGCTTTTAATTTGTCTAGGGATGTAAACGCTTAAAACAGAGCCTCCAACAGGTGGCCATACCTTTAATCAACGTCCATGGAAGTTCTATTTTCCTTAAATTTCTTATGCCACTGGAAAAGCAGTAACTAAATGCATTTTCCCCAGCTTTTGTCAATAAAATAAGCGTTTAAGATAGAGTAATTCCGGGGTTTTCACAAAAATTATGACTTGCCCGAAATTTGACGTTGTCTAAAAACTTTAAGATGAACAATAAATCACCAACTAATAAACTAAATATCCAGTAAAATCAGTAAAACTCTAATCACAAAGGTTTATAAAAGATCAAGCAATCCTAATAATGATATAATTTTTTGTTTTATATACCACATAAGGCGGTTTTATTCTTATTTCATGTATTAAGAATTAAATGATAATAAACGCGTTAATGTCTCCCCCGCATTTCCAAACAACCGTTTCTATGGCAACCGCCATAGAGTTACTTTCATAAATATTTAAAGATATATTTTTATATAAAATATTCTACAAGTGTCTATATTCTCATTTATAATTTTTAACCAATTTCACTTAAAAATAAATAAAATATGAAGAAATTCCACGAACTTTTGGATCAACCCTCGTAACTAAGTTTATTTGCTATTAAATCGACCATCAATTTTTTTTTTTTTTGCTAGAAAATGAATATTTTGGGTGTTTCAGCGATTCAAAGTTTGAATTTCTTAATATGCATATTTTGATCTTCGATATTGCGCGCCATTGCTTTGACGTCATAGGTGTCAATCCTGGTCAAGCAAAGTACTTATTGTGTTTACAAAACGGCTCAATGGCTTTATCTGTTTAACTTACTAGAAATTTAATAAATGATAGTTGATAATTGGCAGATAGTCAGATTTAATTTGTTGTGTTTGGATGTAAAATATGCACAGGAAAGGTTTTAGAAAGTTAATAGGAATGGTACTTTTCAAAACGAAAATATATCAACATGCATTTTAAAAGTTGCACACACATAATATACTAAGTGTTGTAAAGTTCGACCTTAATGCCGCATGGCGCCATTGAAGATTGAAGTGTCCTTTCTGGTAAATGATATTTACTGCTGGAACAGATAGTGATACACAAAATCTGTTTATGTATTATTTTGAAAAAAAAAACAAAAGAAAACTTATAATTCCATTTTTATTAATATTTCTGAAGTCAAACTTTAGTAATTCGATCTATTCAGTCGAAGCTAGGAGTTGTCAACGGCTTTGTCTTCGATGTCCTCTCCCATTTTCAGGGTTTATTTTTTTGCTTATTTCTTTTCGGTAGATGTTAATACAGATTGGCAGTCCATAGTCAAAGTTATATGTCATCAATGTAAAAAATTCTTTTCATTTAGTCGTGTATTCTTTTTATTTGAAGTAAAAATCTATTTGGTAGATTTTTGTTACGAAACGCTGTACGAGTCCTAATTACCCATTGATACCTATGACATTTCAGTACCACGTGACTCTATCTAATTAGTGGAGATTTTAAATCCGAGGAACATACTACTGACGTTTCATGGTTTAAATACAGCAGTTTAAAACATTTTTTTAAAAAATCAATTATAACTATATGTTTCGAGAATTTAATACTGTTTGATTAATAAAAAAATTAGATCAGTGATAAAAACTTTTTAAGTCTATTGGAAAATAAATATCAATAAATATTTGGAGGTGGTTGTGGCCATATTTAGGCGTATTGATCTCCTTTACAAGAAGAGATCCATATATAAAGATTTATAGTTTGAACTGTTCGTGGATTGCGCTAAAAGAAAACGTATTAGTCTGTTGAAAATTAAATGTCGGTATATGTTTTGAAATAATAAAAAAAATAATGATTCACAGGCCACATTATGAGATTTCAAAGCAAAAGTTATGCTATTATTTGCACATAGCAGAAATCCCTAATTTTCTGTTATACCAGTACAAAAGATTTATTAATTTATGTACTTTCAACTGGTAGTAGGAAGCAGTTATTGGAAACAATAACAATTTTGTATCATTAGGATTGGATTAAAAACCAACAGATGATTACTCCTTTTATGATACTATTTGTTTAAGTAAAATAAAATAATAATGGATTTGATGATAGTTTAAAAATATTTCTTAGTTGGAATTCAATTCCGTGGAAACATTTGCTCGCAAATTTAATTGCTTTAGAAATAAATATAGTTGCCAAGTTCATTTTTGAAGAAAATTGGAAAGAAAAACTCTTACGTTCATCAATCCACATAAATAATTCCATACAAAATTAAAAGTTTTCTAAGGATTTTCATTTACAAGCAAACTTGAATTTTATATTATAATTACACTGGTCTGTCTTTTTCAGGTGAAGATGATATAGGTATTACTTCTGGACATGATTTAATTTCTTTAAAATATATTATACTCTAAACTTTGAAACATGTTTTTGTCTCTGTATTGCATTTTACAATAAATTTTCTTATTTTGATATTATAATGGTATTTAATCCTCGCCATCTACATGCATTTTTCTTTTATCTGATATGAAAGAAAATCAAATATTCATTTGAATTAACGTATATTTATATGAATCGCACTGAACTTAAATTTTCAATACATTCGAATGAATTAATAATATTATCATTACGCTTTTTTCCTCTTCCTTTATTTTCAACTTCTTGTGATTATTATGACGATGAACAGAAATGTTTCGTTTTACTTTTATTCACTGAACAGGCAGTTATTCTTTATTCCTCATTTTTTTATCTTTCTGGTTTTTCATTTTTTTTGGTTCTCCGATCCTCTGATAGGAAGGATAACTCTTTAATTCATAATCAAATTTAAAAAATCTCAAAATGAAGCATGAAAATTTATTCTTTTCATGCAACAATTTTCAATTTAATTCTCTCAATGTGCTATAATGTTCTTTGAACTTCTGAGAAAGGTTTTATAAAAAGTCGAAATTTTTACCCCATAAAAGTATCTTAAGATTACCTATTTAATAAAATTTATGTTAATTTCATCTAACCATAGATATCAATGTTTATCAACATGATATGAAATTAGAAGTAATTTACTAGTATGGTGTTTTGCAATGATAGGAAAATCGTTATACACTAAGTTTTGTAAAATGATTGAATTAAATAAAAGTACCGTATTTGTATAAAATTTGTGCAATTTCTTCAAAAGACTGGATACATATGATTTTTAAACATGGTTGTTGATCAAATGCAGAGAAGGTGTTTTAATTCGTATTTCTTGAAAAATTATTTGATATTTACTAATTTTCCTAATATAAAATGATGAATTTTAAAGTTGAAGATTGAAGAACTATCGTGTGTAAAAACACGTTACTCTGAGAATTCAGAGACATTTTTGTGATCTTTTTCAATATGTCAATGCCTGGTTTTTTGATCCTGAGGATCGAGGTATCTAGAATTATTATTTTTTAAAAGTAATTTATATTGAAAGTATGTGTAATCAAACGATATTGACTTGTTATACGTCATAAAATTTCCCTTGATTTTTTTCCCTTTTCATTTTTAACCGGGCTTATTGATCAAAGAGCAATTGCCGGCTTAAAATTTCCCTTCGCCATTTTAAAGTTTCCAAAAATATAGTTCTTTTCATTTTTAATGTTATAAAGCAACAAAAATAAAACGTTTTATCTATATAAAATAAATATTAGTAATCTACTTCATATTGATTTAGTTTTTGATACTCAGCTAGTCATCATGTAAAGCAGGAGAGGGAACCAGACTGGTGTTTGTTTACATTCAGCTTGTTTATCCTTTACATTTATAATATAATTTTTTCACAAATATAAACTACTTTGGTTGCAAAATTAACTCTGTAAATTCACTTTTGATACTGATTTTATAGTGTTCAAAAACTGTAATCTGTTAATTGATATATGCTAGTCATCATGTTGGTCAATTGTTTATCCTTTACATTTATCACAATTTCTACTTTGGTTTTCTCTTTCAGATTTTCTCTTTCAGGTTTCTAAGATAAGGGATTCACTTTTTATCAGATTTCTCCTTTAATTACAAATATAAGAGGTCTTTTTAAAGCATTTCTTGTGACAAGTGTCGAGATAAAAGGAGTCTATGTTGCATTCAATTTTCTCTTGGCGTTTCCAACACTAAGGGTCCTGTTATTATCATACATGGATTTCTTTAGTCGTCATGTTTATTTGTCTCCCCCTTTTTATTAGGATTTCTCTTTTAGATGCCAACATAATGAACCCATTTTAATCCAATTTTCTCTATTCGTTTCTTACATAAGTAGGCCACTTTTTATCTAACCCTTGTTCTTTTAGTTACCAAAATAACGTGTCCACTTTTTATCAGACATCTGATTGGTTTGTTTTTATAGTTGCCCAGATAAAGGATGAGATGAGAGAACAGCTATTCTGCGTGTCGGACCTTGGTTTGTCATCGGATAATTCTGACCTCTCAAGGCGGCAAAGTGCCCGGTATCATGCATTGATTGCATTGTATTTGTTAATGATTCTTCATTTACTTTTTCTCTTTCATAAAAGCAATTTTCTTCCTTTAATTGATACTTTTTAAATATTTGAATGTAAATTAAGGAAGGCCTAAAATATTAAAGATCTACATCTAAGCAAGTGCAAAATCAAATATATTTGTGAAGAGAAATTGTTGATGTCATGCCCGAATTTTTTTTTTTCAGAAAAGCATCGTTGCGAAGAAATTCTCGATTTTCCAATCCGACAGACATCAAACGTAGACTCTCACAGTTAAATGCCATAGCAGAAAGAAGTCTAAACTTGATGAAGTCCATGAACAATGCCGAGTCACAGCGAGGCTTTTCGAGGTCGAATTCCAAAAGACGATTGTCCAGACAGGACAAAATGAACCCGCTTGAAAAACTACAGAGGTCGTTATCACAGGGGCGTATCCTGCCGTACGACAGTGGTGGAGAGTCCGAACCAGAAGAGGGAAAACTAATCCAAGACGAAAAATCGGCGGAGGGGACAGTATGCATTGAAATAATCAATAAGCTTGCGAATTTCCTAAATTGCTAAAATTTTCAAAAAAGGATTGAAATTTTTCACTGATCTTTGCATTATATTCAGATATATTAAATATTCAAATCTTTTATATCAAAGTAAACAGAAAGAATATGTTTTTAAAAAATGTTATTTATGATCTTAGTTTTTTCTGTATTTTAAAAATGTTCGATAACTCGTACCAAGAACTGTTTCTTACAGGTAAAACTCTCCGTGATTTTCACCTATATAAAAGCTATGGGAGTTATCGGTACCGCCCTGTCAATGCTGTTTGTAATGCTTTTTCAAGGACTTAATGCCTATGGTAATTTTTGGTTGACATTTTGGACAGAGGATGAAATTATCAAAAATCATTCACTGATTACGACGCACGAATATTCCAACCGAAAGTACTACTACCTCGCAATTTATACAGTCCTCGGTGTTCTCCAAGGTCAGATAAATAAGATTATATTTTTTTTGTTTCTTTTCTTGTGAACTTTTTAATGCATATAGATAAAGATACAATTACAATATTTTAAGTTTCCTTACTTTATTCAGATACAGTATTTTATTGATGTTCCAGGAATTTTCCTGTTTTTGTTTGTTTACCTCGGACTGACAAGATTAATAACTGCTTCCGGATCCCTGCATTCCTCCATGTTATTTTGTATTTTACGTTCACCAATGTCGTTTTTTGACACGACACCTGTTGGTCGGATCATGAACCGTTTTTCTAGTGATATAGATATATTAGATGACCGCCTTCCTCGGACCTTCCGGTTGTGGGCTGTGATGCTGTCTACCTTGTTAGCCATTTTGGTTGTGATATCAGTGAACACACCTAATTTTCTTATTGTCATTATACCCGTGGGCATTTTTTATATTTTAATTTTGGTAAGATTTAACGTGAATTCAACATTAAAAAGCTAGTTTTGAAACTGATTTCTTAAATTGTCTATTACTTTATAATTATGATTTTTGTTCTATCCTGTGTTCGAATTCAATTTGATGAAAAAACTATATTTCTTTTCAAATGAAGGAACGATGAAGAGCCAATGACTCTGTTAAAATTTGTATTTTTCAATCAGGTGGATTTCAAAAGATTTTTAAAGAAAAAAAGATCTCAAAGGGATAGTATCCCCTTTGAGTCAGTATTTTGAATACTTGAATTATTTGCCAAGTAAGTTTTTTTTTAATTTTCTGTTGCTTCATTTCAGAGGTTTTACCTCCCTACCGCCAGGCAATTAAAAAGAATTGAGGGCGTGACCCGCTCCCCCGTTTATAATCACTTTAGTGAGTCCATCACCGGTGCCAGCTGTATCCGAGCTTACCGAGCCGTGGACCGATTTATTACCGAGTCCCAGACCCGAGTAGACACAAACTCAACATTCTATCACGCCGCAAATACAGCCTCATGGTATGATTTTATAGTACATCCTTTCTTAATAGAAAAAGCTTCAAGGTACTTAAACTAATGTTTTCACATTTTGCAGATACTGAGGAATTCTTTTTATAAAAATTGACGAAACAATTAGTTTATAGAAATTTTGAAAGAGTTTTGAAAAAGAACTACTAGTATATAAATGATACAGTATACTCAAGGAATGTGAATTTGAAAATTAATCCAAAATTTTTACTTTTCTTTTATATTTGAACTTTCACCTTTAGACAATACAAACACAGCTATTTCAGTTAGCTTATTACTAACCATGGAGTAAAAAGACACATCGTTTTATTTCCAACAGGTGGATTGCTATACGACTAGAATTCTTGGCAAATCTTCTGGTGCTAGCAGCTGCTGTGTTTTCCGTTCTTTCTGATACTCTATCAGGGGCGGGGATAGGACTCTCCCTAACATACTCATTACAGGTATCTAACATACACATTACAGGTATAACATACTCATTACAGGGATAACATACACATAACAGGTATATAACATACTCATTACAGGTATATAACATACACATTACAGGTATAACATACTCATTACAGGTATAACCTTCTATATAGGTATAACATACTCATTGCAGGTATAACATACTAATTACAGGTATAACATACTCATTACAGGTATATAACATACACATTACAGGCATAACATACTCATAATAGGTATAACATACTCATTGTATGTATATTACAAACTCAATACAGGTATATAAGGAATTCATAACAGGTTTATAAGAAACTCATAACAGGTATATATTGCATACTTAGTTCAAGTAAATAACACTCTTTAAAGGTATAACATACTAATTAGAGGTATATGGCATACTTATTACTGGTAAACTAAACATATTCATTCAGGTATATATTGTACTCATTACAAGTTCATCATACTCATTTTAGATGTGACATACCTATTTCAGGTGTAACACACTAATTTCATATATTAAAAGCGACTTCTAATATGAATTTACGTAAAATGATTTTTGAATTATAAATATTCAAAAAACGTACCTTTGCATGTACAAGATTTTATCCTTAGAAAATGTTTCAAAATTTTCACTATCGTTCAAATACTTCAAGCAAATATTTGGCTTAGGTAAATTATTATCTTAATAAAGTTTGTAATCTCATGGTAAAATCTTCCATGACCTTCGGTTCAACCGGCTTTCAGTGACCTTTATGACCTTTCAGCGACCTTCATGACTTTAAGTGACCATTTAATGAACTGAATGGCGTTCGTTCTTCCTTGAACATCTTTTTATCTGAATACAGGTCTTAAAATAACTCAATCTGCATACAGATTGAAATTTTGATATACATATATAGCTATGAAAATAAGATTTTTTCACATACCTCTGGAATTGAGTTCTGGTATTGTTCACTTTGAGCATGGGTTATTATAAATGTATATATCAGACTTTTTGGTGACAAATACAGATACACTCGTTTACCTGAATGTTAAAACAGAACGTTACATTCACTAGTCCGAGCCAACTGAAATATCTCATAGTTTGAGGTAATATTCTCATATCAATGAGTCTTAGTGCATATTTGCAACAACCTAAACGTGAATACAGACTCTAATACCCAGTATCTCAGATTTTGACTACATACACATTGTTAAGAATTTGAAGGAGTAAAGTTTAAAATATTAATATTGATAACTATCACAGTTTTTACATCACTGAAGCTGATCAGCATATAATGCTTTTGATTACAGGTTGTAATATCCCTGAATATGGTCGTCCAGTCTGTGAGCGAGATGGAAATGAATATCGTATCAGCAGAAAGGGTAGAGGAGTTCACGAGACTCCAACCAGAGGTGAATTAAATCGTATCAAAGTAATAGTCACAACCACATTAAACGATGAGTAATAAGATAAATAGTAAAAATACCATTCATAGCTTTTTCAATAGATGTAAGTTATCAAGAGAAATATCAATTTGATCCGAGCAATTGTTAAGCTTTTTGTAAATACATGCAGTGGGATACCTAACTCTTATAAAGCTCAATATTAATCATTTCATATATGAAATATTAATTAAATCCACTTTTAACACAATTTTCATTGCCATTTGCATAAAATGTAATATTTGAAGGCTGAATGGATCGAACCCAAGAACCGCCCATCTCCTACCTGGCCTGACACGGGGGAGGTGGAATTTAAATCCTACACCACCCGGTACAGGGCAGGTTTAGACCTAGTGCTAAGAGGACTCGACTGTGTCATTAAAGGAGGCGAAAAGGTTTGGCAACATCTTTATTTGACTATAAAAATACCGTTGTAGTAAAGGATTTTTTTAAGGGAGAAAATGATCACATTTTCTATGATATTTCGAGCAAATTTTTGAATATTTCGATAAAATATTGCAAAAATGCTAACTGCATCAACAGCTACGTTCGTTGTTTAAAATTTGTTGTTTTGTTTCTCGTGTGTGAAATTTTAGTTGTTTTTTTTCAAGGATATAGATTTTATTTACATTTTAATATCAAAGTTTTTTCCTTTCATAGATAGGTATTGTAGGTAGAACAGGAGCAGGGAAATCATCCGTGACGCTGGCGCTGTTTCGCATCATTGAACCAGCAGGCGGAGACATCAGCATTGATGATATGTCGATATCTTTGATGGGCCTCCATGACTTAAGATCTAAAATAACAATACTACCTCAGGTAAGTGATATCTTCAAAATGAATTCGGGATACCTTTAATGATATTTTATCGTGAGTAATTAACTTAAATTTATGAATCATTATAGTAGAAAGTACTGCATTATTACTGACATATTTCTCTATTACACCTTCTACTTTAGTACACAGTACTTTGTGAGTTATTATTGACTTTTTTATGTAGTACAATAACTTCAGTCTAATGCATTGAGTAATTCCAATAATACTTTTTTTAAGTTCCACATCTTCCTTTTGTCTAAATACTCAGTATCTTCTTTTATTTGTTTTTATATTTTGATATAAAATATTAAGATATAAAATTAACTTTTTTGCATTCCCCTATCAACTTAAACAACAGTACCGATCGAATAAGGATTTACAATGTACATTTCGCTTTCTACTTTGGTCCAAATTACTAAATAATTATTGGCATTGTTTTTTATTCTGCCTTTTACTACTAAAGTTCTAAGTAATTATTGACATTTTTCATCCTGCATTTTTTCAGGATCCTGTAATATTTTCTGGGTCCATCCGTTCTAACTTGGATCCGCTCCAGAGATTTTCAGATCAGGATCTTTGGGTGGCGATAGAGAGAGCTCATATGAAAGACTTCGTCACTAGCTGTGTAGGGCAGCTAGATTACGAATGTGGGGAAGGAGGCCAAAACTTCAGGTAACAGCTCGGGTGATAAAAAGAGGACTCAAGTAAGAGCTAAAGTAAGACTCAAGTGAGAACTCAAGTAAAACTCAATTAGATCTCAAGAGAGTTTAAGTGAGAACTCAAGTAAAAGCTCAAGAGAAAAGTCAAAAGGTCAAAACTTCAGGTAAAAGCTCATGTGAAAAAAAGATAGCTAATATTAGATTTTAAGTAAGAAGTGAGAGTTCAAGTGAGAATTCCTCAAGTGAGAGATTAAAGCTCAATTCTCAAAGGTGAGAGAGAACTCAAGTGAGAGCGCAATTGAGAACTAAAGTAAGAGTGCAAGTGAAAACTTCGGGCGAAATGTTTGGATTAAAACATAATGTGAAAACTTGATATGAGAAATTCACGTTAGAATTTTTTTTAAAGAATCACAGTATCTTACATTAAAATGTGAATAAATCAATAAATTGAATACCAAACAAAGTCTATTTTTAAGAGAATTTTGGTTATTCACTTTCACGAAACTTGTCGACATTGAATGCTGTCTAATTATCAGCGTTTTTTTTTCAAGAGGAGGACAGATTTTTTTGATAATTTTGAAATATATATATATAATTATATATATATAACGTAAATATTTGTTGGTCTTTTAATATGGATAATTCATGATGCAATTTTGCCACTAATAAAAAGTGTTTTTCTATCTCAAATTTATCTATTAATACCATGTTCGAAAAAACTGCATTTGGATGATATCTTATATATTAATGTATATTTTATATATATTGTGTAGCGTTGGTCAGCGACAGCTGGTGTGTCTGGCTAGAACTCTACTACACAAAACAAAGATCCTGATTCTGGACGAAGCCACGGCAGCCGTGGATGTAGAGACAGACGAACTGATCCAGAGGACGATTAAATCAGAGTTCATAGTGTGATGGATTATGATAGGTGAGTTACTGTATAGCTGTGTGATGGATATAGCTTCTTGTTTATAGACTCAACACCGTGATGGATTACGATAGGTGAGTTACTGTCTATAGCTCATAGACTCAACACTGTGATGGATAACGATAGGTAACTTCTTGTTTATAGCTCATAGACTTAGCACTGTTATGAATTACTGTTTCATCTTGAGCTGAATGGCTCGATAATCTTATGAATTAAATGTAGCTGAACGTTTTAACATCATTAAATAAATTGACATCTTAAATCAATTCAATCATCAAATTCTTAATATTCTACTGTACTGCTGTCTTGGATTCGTGGGAAATATTTTCTACCTAATAAGTAAGTAGTAATTATTTCCAACGAATATTTTCTCATCTGGATTCGGCGGACGACATTTCAAATGTATATTTTGTATCTAATTATAGAAATATTCAAACTGTTTGTTTGATTTCAGCATTCTAGAAATCAGGAAGCATAATATTACTATTATTGATGGTTTTAATTAACAACAGAAGTTTTTATGGCCGTCCCATAATGATTTTTAATCTTATATTTTAACAGAATAATGGTGATGGACAAAGGATTGATAGCTGAGTTTGGAGCCCCTCAAAAACTACTGGAGGATAAATCCGGGGTCTTCTACTCGATGGCTAAAGATGCTAACCTCGTTAATTAACACATCTTATCTAGAATTATTACAGTACTGCAAAATCACTTATTTTGATGGCCTTTCATTTTTGTTGTTTTCAAGGTATGAAGAGATTCCCATCTCGAATATTTCATATACATCACTACAGAACAATTCTTCAACAACGAAATAAAATCCCATGAACCAATATATTTTCCTCATATTGCGAAAAAATTACCCCTCGAAAATATGTGATTTTACAGTATTTATTTTGTTGCTGTTGCTCAATAAACGGATATCAAAATTGTATAAATTTGATTTCAAAATCATATTGTGTTCAATCTTGCTACTTGAGTTATGTGATGTCAGAACAATGGCACGAATATCCTCTTACAATAACTCCACAATTTCGTAGTCTCTAAAAACGGTCTTGTTAGATGTTCTGTGCAGTTCATGGTCAGGTATAACTAATGCTGTAGATGACGTCATTGTGAAACGATCATTGAATGTACGTAATCTTCTGAAGTGATCTCGTGCTGATGTCACAAGTGAGCTGCCATATAATCTGCAAATATTGGGTTTTTCTTGGTAGTAAAATATGTTAACAGTAGACATAGTGCTTTGCGTAACAGGAAAAGCCTCTTACAATATTATATTGTGGTTAACTTGCATCAACTCGCCGATTTTCCTTTCTTTTATGATATGCAACATTCAGATGCAGATGCATTTGTAGATAGGGTCAATTTTCAGATTAAACCAGAGTCAAAATATGTAGATCATCAGCTTTTGATGACCCATTTGTGCTTGAACCAGAAACCAACAAAAGAAAATTGAAATTTTTTCATCGTTTGGCAAAATAATTCTTTTTTTCTCTGAGATTTGCAGAATTGCTGTGCAGTTAACAATTGCGTTAAGAAATAATGCATTTTACTGGAACAAATCTTATTCATCTAAGACACCGTATGACAAAACTATCTTACATTTTTTACAATATTGTTCCAACTGATTGCTTCTTATTTCTTAAGAAATTAAATCAGAATGGGGTTCTCACAAACGTTTTTAATCACCTTCTTTGAATTAGTGTTTCAATAAATAATTAAGATATATTCATACAAAAATTTATAATAAATGATAAGAGATACACTGTAAGAAATGTGTTTAGAATCCAAAAACTTTTTCTATATACTTCGCTTTTACCTTCTTTTAAATGTTTAATTCCTAATTATGTAAACTTTCTACACACGTATGAGATAGTGTTTCGAATCTAAACACTTGTGTGCTTAGAAATTAAACGTATCTTGACACATTAAAACAAGTATTATGTTCTAGTTATATGAACACACAACAATTTACCATGATATTTAAATAACCAAACTGAACCTGCAGACAAAACTACCAGCAATTTTATATCAAGTCATTACAGAATAATTTTTTAAAACTTTATTAAAGAATTTTTTTATTAAAAATATAAAACGTTTTATATTATGTATAATTATGATTTATACTATATCTATAATATATTATACTTATAATACAATTTCAATTTGCTGTAGAGATTTCCCCATGTCAGTCAAAAAATGACCATTTTTATTAACTTTCAGCAGTACTAAATTAATGCACCACAAATTAGATATAATGTTTGGCAACACATGATATATTATAAAATCAATAACTGCCGGAATGCAATCCCTTTGAAATGGACAAGGATAATTTCTTATTTAAAACTATGGAACATGAGCGAATGAACTCAGCCGTCCTCATAAGAATAAATCTCTTAGTGTTGATCACGGAACAACTATTTGCACATGAAGATGACGCCACGTATGAGTGTTGATAGAAAAGTTTGCGGACAAGTTGTACTGTGACCGCGCTATTTCCATGAAACCGGTCAAACTCCCAAAATAGAAACTTTTCCTATTTTCCAATAAATATACACAGATTTGGTGTTTTCCGATGATCCTTATAAAATATACAGCTATTTTATTTTGATAAAACATGCTTCAGGGAGCATGCTTCGTTTTCGCACATTAACATTACATGGACGTTTTATTGATATAAAAAATTGCACAGTTGTAGCGCAAAAAAAAAATTATGATATTTTACCTGTCGCTACAGTACTCAATTGGAGCGTATATGACTGTTTTATAACAATTTATAGATAATAAAATAAAAAAAAAAACAAAATTGGGAACTTCATTGAACGTCATGGAGCACCGAGCTACTAAAAATTATGTGAGCAGACAGGAAAATGTCTAAAAAGAGACTAAAAATGCTATCATATGCTTTTTGAAATCGCCTACACGTACAAAGGACAAAAATATTCAAAAGGTAGTAGTTTTATAAGAATGGAAGGATTAACATTTGCAGTGATCAACTCCTACGATGCCTCAATACTCCATTTATTGCATGGACGTTGCGCCTATGGATTTTCGCATTTTTTTCACACCTGATCGCTTAACTGCGCTGACATTTATTTTCAGTTCTCACTAATATTTGAAACCGCACAAAAGACATTGTAGAAGAAAAGTAACATGTCTTGATATAGATATTTTATTTTTAATTAGAAAGAAAAAAGAAAAGTCTAAATATTAAAAGATATTTAGAACTATGAAAAGGCTTAATGGACCTGATTTTTTGCAAACAAATAAACAAAATATAGGAATTAAATCAGACATAGGTCATACTTCACAGTACACAATAGATTCTCCGTAATTCAATGTGTCCGCGAACTTTTCTTACAACCCTCGTATATATGATCCAATCCAAAATGAAGAACATGGCAGTTATAGTTCATAATTTAGTTATCATCTGGACATGGGTAATAGTTTGATTGCATTGATGTACTCCGGACACACATCCCTCATACCACCATCCCCTCCCGCTCCCTAAAAACTTGAAAACCTGGATCCGCCTTTGATTTTCTACAAAAAGAATAAGTGCCATTTACTCTTACTTCCTCTCGAGTATTAAAGCGTGTGCATCTATGATCGGATATATGATTAAGAGGAGCTTAGGATGTTAGAGACACGTGGCTGAATGCTACTACTGTGTTAAGATAAAACCATTGTTATATACGTACAAATCTTCAAGCAAGGTAAGAGAAATGCATGCATATATTATAAGTAAAATAACATTTCAATTAGCATAAAAATATCGTTTGATATAAGCTGTGCAATATTTTTTTTAATTAATAAGTTTACCAGTTTATTCGTATCTCTTTGGTTGTTATTTCACAACATAGAGATCAAAGCAACATTTTACAAAACATGCGTGAACAGAACAAATAACATATATACAGAATGTATTTAGAACCACATCATATATTTCTACATTAATATCAATGTTATTAACCTGGAGGTTTGACGTTCCCGTATACAATTTTTATAAACGAGTTAAACTTACTTAATAGCCCAACATTTCTGGAAGAGAACAATTCATTACACTTGAAAGCATTAAGTCTTGAAACATAATATTTCGTAATGTACAATTTTCTTTCATTTAAAAACTTATCACAGCACAATGTATTGTGAAATTGTCTCACTAAACACATTATTTCAAAAAAAGAAATGTTGAAAATTCTTGGTAATTTAAGCGTCTAGTTAACATGATTTTTAAAATACAGTGACAACTGTCTAATCCGACACCTGTGTTATCCGACACACTGTGAATTTTATGTTTACACTGTGCAATCCGACCCCTTGTCTATTCTGACACAATTTTTCTCCCAGTGCATTTCAGAAATAACGGTTTCACTGTATTGATATATATACCTCTACATACTTGTTCCCCAGAAGCAATTATCAATTCCGTAATATGTAATGCTAGCATATTATTTTTTATTGACCCAAAAAATGCTATTACATTCCTTTTTTGTAACAGTCTGCAGCCTAAAAATCGAGTTGTTTTGTATAACTGTATAAATAGTATGTATAAATACCCATGTTTCCACCTTGTTAGGGTAGGTTGGATATAACGTTAGAAGATCTGAACTCTGTTTGTTTGTCACCCTTGTGTGACCTCTGAACTTTATGCCCGGGTGACCATCTGGCTTTTGAATGATGATGCTGAATGATATGGCCAACAGTAATACAACAGTGGACCACTCCTGTCAGAAAACGTCATTATGGGTAAGAAATAAAGGAATAAAGAATGTGGCGGATCAATGGTGAAAATTATTAATTTATTGTAAGAGAGAGAGAGAGAGAGAGAGAGAGAGAGAGAGAGCAACAGATTCACAATTTGAACAACATTTATCAGAAATGCACAAAATGAAAAACTACCAATGTGATTAAATATCTGTACAAGATATATTCAAACATAGACTATGATTAAATATATATAAAATAACAAATTGAAAAAGAAAAGATAAAACCCTGAAAACGAATAGAAAGATTTAATAACATGTTTTTGCAGAATGATGATATATTTTCCGGGTCGGCTCCAAGATTTCCAGACTGTTTCCAGAATACGGTATTAGTCTGGATTCCATGTGGATTCCTGCTTCTATGTTCGCCATTCCAGATCGCTAGCTTGTGTCACAATTATGTCGGATATCCTCTGCCACTTGGAATCAGGAGTATTATAAAAAGTGTGAGTAGAAATATAATAAATTTCATTTGATTGTGTATGAGAGAGAGAGAGAGAGACCAATAGTAACGTTTCTCTCTTTAATGCACTAAAAAATAGATATATATTATATCTTAAAAACTAAGTGGATATATTATACTAAATGATTATTGAAGATATTACACATGTAGAAGAACACATTATATATATAAAACAGGAAATTCTTTAAAGGAATGTAGCCCTGTGTTTATTTATTTTTTTATCTCGCTTTACCTGAGTTTGTTCAACTAATGAAAACAGAGAAGAAATACATATTTTGCCATTTTTGTTAAGCGATCGCATTGACTATTTATCTATTTAAGGTATGTCAATCGTCAGCGTTTTAGAAAAGTTCAGGCAGAACCTCTTACTTCAATACTATCTATTATAACACATTTTAATGAAACAAAGTACATTGTTCAATATTCCAAAAAAAAAAAAAAACACCTCAAAATTTCAAAGTTAAGTAAGATCTATAAGGGACTATTTATTGTGGTGGAAGGATATTTAGCATAAAATAGTGTACATTGTACAAATATGGATTCAAATATAGCGAAATTAGTAACTAATTTCCAAGATTTGCTTAATGACAAATATTATTTAAACTATTTTACGT